TTTTTTTTTTTCCTGTGAAAACACAACCCAACCTGCAGTGAACCCGTCGGGATTGTGCTAAATCACTCTGGGCATTAAACCAGACCACTCAAGGAGAATGAGTTTCCTAAACGGTATGAGAGCAGCACAGATGTGAATCTCATCGTGGTCGGTTTGTGAAGCCAGGGGTCCTCAGAATGTCCCCACACCTATCGGTGATCTGGCTTTATCCTCACATGTTCTGGAGGGGAGGAAATGACCTGTCCTCCACTCTTTCGGCTGTTCGAACCTTCACAGCCTCTGCATGACAAGGACACCGCTGGACACCTGCAAGGTGGGCACATGCCACTGTGCAGGGTCCTCCTCATGTAGCTGGCCTCATTTGTCTGCCCTATGTGGTGTCAATACGATTAAATCATTTTTGCAGGTAGGTACTGAAGCTCAGGGTTAAGAAGTCTCTCAAACACTAGGCCTATGAGAAATAGACTCTGATCTGGACTCTGAGAGTCTGTCTCAGAGGCCTAACCCTACCTCACATCTCCTGGCTAGTGGTGCACTAGGTGAGTGAACCAGACAGGTTTTCTAGCATGTGCCGAAGAGACACGTACCAAGTGACATGGTCACACACTACTGTGACTAAATGTCCAAAGGAGGGGCTGTGCATTCACAGGGGCTGGGACTTCTGGAGCCTACACTAAAGAGGACGTTCCCCCGAGATGGAGGCCAAGGAGGTGTCTGGAGTCAGGGGCACTCCAGCATTGCCACTAATTGGCACATGGTCCTGATGAAATTGTTTCAACCTTCTGGTCTCAGTTTATCAGGCAGTGATCTGGGCCCAATAAGAGTGTTCTACCTGCCTTCTGGACTCTTCTCAGAGTCAGACTTGATCAGACACGGGAAGTCACTTTAACAGCAGAAGCTGTGGTCAAATGGTTTAAGGTAGTTGAGCAGATACCCAAGATCCTCAACCGGATTTGCTACAAGAGCCTGGGGTGAGGACAGGGAAGGGTGTGTCAGCAACTCTGACAGGCCAGGCTCATTAAAAACTAATCCCTGTTGTCAGAAGCATGGTCCAGGCTAAGAGACGCTGACATCACCGTGCAGGCACATGCCGAGGGAGGAATGAGATTCTGCTACACCCGTGTCTCCCCAGGCTGCCCTCTGGGGCTTAAAATCTTCCCAGTGTTGCTCAGTGTCATGACATCTGAACCAGGGCTCTTGTGAAGGTGACAACAGGGTGTTCGGTGACGGGTAGACTCAGTCTTGCTAATGACCCAGGACATGAGTATCTGAACTGACAGATACTCTGACAGATACTCCTTGAGCTGTCTCTAGCTGCCCTGGGGGCCCCCACCGAGTGAGTGTGTCTCACAGTCTATTCCAGGGGCCCTGCCATGAGGCAAAGACACTAGTTTTTTATTCATGGGCTTAAAGTAAAAGTAGAAGTGACCAGGCTAGCTGGCTTTATGGGAAACAAATCACGTCCTTCACCTGCTAAGTATAGCTGTCTCTAATCCTCCATCAACAAAGGGATGAGAAATCTGACTTGCTTCATACAGGGAGGAAAGGGAGGCTTGAGACGCTGGGAACCAGGAGCATGCAGCCACTGCGTTAGAGCAGAGGGACAGACCCTGACTGTGACTGACTCTCCAATGGAGAAATCTCCTCTGTAACTCTCCTCTCCAATGGAGAAATCTCCTCTGTGACTCTCCTCTCCAATGGAGAAATCTCCTCTGTGACTCTCCTCTCCAATGGAGAAATCTCCTCTGTGTAGATGGTATGGCTGCACAGCTGTGGAAGGCAAATGTTCCTCTTCATGTTCTGGGCTATATCAGCTCCGTGGGATGCTGGGTCTCCCCAGCCAGCTCTGAAGTCTCCCTACCAGGTCCTAGCCCAGGCTGGCTAAGTCAGCCTCCACAGGGAGCCCAGGGAACCCTTCTGTCAAGCAGGCAGGCTCACAGGTTTGGGCTGTAGAACCCTTAATCGGCTTCTGGTTTTTCTCTCAGGCACTGGGTTTTTTCCTTGGGGGCTGTGGATCTGAGGTATAGTCAGGAGCATAAGATAAAATGGCTCTCCCATCGTACATGAAAGCAGCCACAGTGTGGCAGCCCCCTGAATCCCTGCTTCCTGGGAAACATCTAAGTGCTGTGCCTGGCATGGGATGTGGTAGAGATGGGGACAGGGTGTGCGAGTGGCCCAGGGGGGAGATGGTCAGGTCTCTGCCTGCGGGGTGGGAGGGGGACAGAGGAGCAGTGAGATAATACAATCACCATGACAAGTGGCGTTGTTGAGTACCCGAATATCAGACACCATTGCCCGTATAGAGGAAATAGAAAACCTGCCATTTACACCTGCTGAAGCACTCTTACCACAGCCCTTATGGTAAATACACGTGGCCCCTCCCTGCTTCATAGAAAGAGGGTCTTAGGCCTAGAGAATTGAGGGTCCTTTCTAGGGCCACAGCTGGTGAGGGGCAGGCGAGACACTGGAAGTCACCTGCCCCGACCCGGCCTCTTTCTAGTTCTGCGGCCCTTGGCGCAGAGTCAACGCCCAACAAGCAGTTAATAAATTATGTGGCTGCCATGGGTCCTGAGTTCTTGTATGGGATTTTCTGGGCTATCCCTATATTCTTGAGACACAACCCCTCAGTGCACATACTATAGGCCCGAGGAAAGGGACAGGGCCTAAAAGGTTGGGTTAATGTCCTTTTGTTGCTGGCTATAAAACTATGCTGCTCTTTAAAGAGACTAAGAAGCCCTGTCCCTATTACTCATCCTTGGGGGTGGAAGGGTGCCCAAGTCCCCACCTGCCCCCTGCTGTGCTGACTCTGCACAACACAAAGAAATATTTCTTCTTAGTTGTCCTAAATTTACTATCCAGGATTTTTTTCTGTTCTCATTTCACACGGCAGGCAGCTGAGCGATTTTCTCCTGGCTCTATGAATTTCAACCACCCTGTAAATCGACACTGACATCTTTCCAGCCCTAAAAGAAAATATCACTCCAGCTTTGGTAGCCTTTCCAGGGGGCTGGCTTGCTTCTTGGGGGCTCTTGGGTAATTATTGGTGCAAAGAGCAGCCTGGAGGTGAGGCCTGGCATCTCCCCATCACTGAAACATACCCTCCTCTCAACTGCAGGAAATTTGATGAATGGCCGTCTTGGGCATGGTACTGGGGGTGGGTCAGGAAGCGAAATGAAAACGAGGCAGCCATTGGCCTCCAGAGGACTCTACAGGGTTTTATAGGCTCTGTAACGTCTACCTTTCATTGATTACCATGGGGGTACCCGGATGGCAGGATGTGGGCCTGAGCTCTCCAGGTATTGGGCAGAGCTAGCAGTGGGGGCCTAGAGGAGCCAGGTGAAGTCACAGTGGGAATAAGAAAGCACCTGTGAGTTTAAGGGAGCATGGGGCATAAAGGACAGGAAGGGAGGGCTGGGATGTGGCTCAGTAGGCACAGTGTTCCCCTGTCGCCCATGAAGCCCTGGGCTTGATCCCCAGAACCACCAGGCATGGTGTACTCACCTGTAAATCCCAGCACTCCAGATGTGGGGGAAGGAGCATTACAAATTCAAGGTTGTCCTTGGCTGTATAATAAGTTCAAGGTCAGCCTGGAATACGGGGGACAGTTGGAGAAGGGACAGGGTGGTAGCGAGTTCTTTGCAGAGCCTTCCTGGGACTGCACAGAATTCCAACCTTCTTTGAGGTCTTGGGTCATCAATGGTTGCTGAGCAGGGGTTGTGGGAAGTTGATGAAGACATCTTCTTCTGCCTGGGGCCAGGAAGGCCCCTGGGTTAGAGATAAGGCTAGATGGAGGGCCTCAGAGGGATGGCATGGGAACAGTGAATGAGAGTTAAGTCTCATGTGCAGGCAGCCAAAAGTGCTGCATACCTACAGTTCTCAGCGCGTTTCTGGTGGCGATTCAATGGGGCTTTAATGACTGCACGCAAAGCCATAAACACTACACAGAACAAACACTGAAGACTTTAACCTGTTTCACAGAGCAGCTGAAAGATACCTTGCCCCAAATTACAGAGTTAGGCTTATGACAGCGCCCCTTCGCCATACCCACTGTCTGCCCCAACATGGCTGGCCAGCAGCCACCAGAGGGCGCTCCTGCCCCCCAGACATGCTGGAAAGCCAGAGAGACCTCTGCTTGTGTGGTTTATTCACAGGACCAGAGTGAGGGTTTTGTGACACTTTTCCGGTTCTCAGGCCTGGCTACTACACAGTTACCTAGTGTCAAGATCAATAACATACTTTGCTTGCTCGTACTGTATTTTTTTCAAATAGGAATGCCAGTGTCTATTTAACATCTTTCCCTTACCCCTACCCTTCTTATCTATGGATGGTGCCACTACACACGCTTTAAGTGCAGTGTGACAGAATCAGAAAGACAGGAGGAGTTAGGAACACCTTAAATTAGTGAGGGTGACTAAACAGAAGGGGCTCTGATCTGAAAAGTGTAGACCACCTGGAACTTATTATATAGCCCAGGCTGGCCTCGAACTCACACAATCCCCTTGCCTCTTCAGTGCTGGCTTTACCAATGTGTGCCACTACACCTAAACGTCACTGACAATGCATAGACACTGAAATGATTTAACTCAATCACTGAATCTCTGAGCCCCACCTTTCTTAGCCCCTAGGGTCTCTGTTGGTGGGTCTTAGTTACCAAGACCTAGGTACCTTTCTGAAGCTTAGAGTTCAGTTTGTACAAGGCGTCGTTTACAGTTTGGCTTCCGTGTCACCAAGGCAGAAGTTCTATGGACGGTGGACACTTTCATCTCTCTCCTAGTCACCCCTGCCCCATTCTTGCCAGGCTCTGTGGCTAGACCTGGTACTACATGGCCGCTACAGCTGGGTTTTTCAGACTGGGTACGTGAGAGAGGTGTGAGGACTAGACCTAGTGTCCTTGGCGACAGTGATTTCTTTGGCTATAGTCTGTCATAGAGTTCACCGGGGGAGGGGGAACGTGCTCTTGTAAGCATGAGCATAGCTGATAGCTTTCTCTCTTGGCACAGAGGCTCAGAGCTTTGGTCTGCTGGACCCCAAACTCTGCTACCTGCTAGATGGAATCCTCTTCATCTACGGAGTCATTGTCACAGCCCTGTACCTGAGAGCAAAGGTGGGTTCCCCTGGGCTCTGGGGGGGGGGGGGGGGAGGGAATGTGGGCAGGGCTTAGGCATGGAGAATCTCAGACCCGGGCCTGTTTGGTGTGCATGATCGAGGTCGGGGACAGCCAAGTGTGCACAGCGGGTGGACTGAGAAGATGGGGTGTCCATTTGCGGTACCAGGGCAGGACAGTGAGCCTAATGGTAGGTGCGTTAGTGAGGGTCTGTACCGATGCCTGGATATGAGAGTGTCCCATGGCATATGCCAAGCAGTTAGGGACAAGAAAGTGGAAGATTTGCGGCCTCTTCTTGAGGCCTGATGCTGAGCTGCTAAGGCCACATCAGCTTTTCTCCAAGTCTCCATTTCCCCATCTGCAGATGCGAGTGGTGCCTGAAACCATGGATTTTGTGGAAAGGATACATCTGGGGCAGGCAGATGTCCTACCCCTCCAAGGCACTATAACCCATTTCCTTTCTGGCATACGATTTTATTTATTTACTTGGAAATGATACCTCGCTGATCTGTAAGATTCCCTCCAGAGCTCTGACTCTGCACAAACCCCAAAGTTTCTCTCAGCTTAGGTCGTGTGCCAGCTTGGGTTACATGCTCATGACAAGAAGCAAGCACTCAGGACAGGGCTGGTGATGATGCCAGTGGGCCAACTTAGTAGGCAGCTTTTTGTAACCGCTGTCTACCCCGAGTGTCCTGAAATCTCTGGAGGAAGGCGCACAGGAGAGTGCTCCCGGCTTCCAGCAGGCAATTATCCCCTTTACTTGGGATAATCAGCTTCTCTCAAGACTACAGTTGTAGACACTCACATGGCAGGTAAGAGAAAGGACAGCTGAGTTCAGAAGCAGAAATGCTATCACAGCTTGGGCCCCTGCAAGGGATAGCCACAGCAGCAAGGCACACTCAGCAGGCATCAAGGGACTGTCCTCCAGCTCAGCACTGTAGCTGCCCTCCAGCCATCTTGGAGATGGTACTGACTCTCTCTATTCCCTTGCAGTTCAGTGGGAGTGTAGATGCTACCGCCTACCAGCAGGACTCCAATCAGCTCTACAATGTAAGTTCCCACTCTGCAGCTCCGCCTGCAAAGTCTTGCCCGAGGACCTAGGGAAGCTCCAAGACAAGGCTCAGCTGCGGGTCTGCGTCACAGTTAACCTGGTGACTGGCGGCAAGCTGTGGAACCTCAGTTTTCTAACCCCAAGACTGCTTGCCCTGCAGTGTTGCCTTGAGGACCAGGAGCTTTAATGATGAGATGCATGGCGCAGCCCTGCTTCTAGTGAATCAGGAGGCACACGGAGGCAGTGCAACTCTGCCTCTAGTGAACTGCCAGTCACAAGCGTTTTGCAAAGGCTAGAGGCCACAGTATGGGGGGAAGGACCATACGGAAATGCAGTGGGTCTTTGGTCTGTGTGATTCCCTCTGGGAGCCTTGGTTTCACTTCCTGATGAAAATGTTGTTATGAACTCCATTTGACAGATCAGCAGGAGAAAGAGCACATGGCGACTCTGGGGTTCCTGCCAGGCACCATGCTGGTGGCAGGTGTTTTCTGAGAGGCTAGCATAAAGTTGAAGTGGTTCCCACCACCTCACTTGGCTCCTCTGTCCACACTTTTTTTCCAAATTACATTTCCTGGAACTGGTAAACAAAATGTAACATTATTTTTACTGTGTGTGTGTATGTGTAACACAGTGCACACATATAGATCAGAGGACTTCTCTTCCTCCTCCTTTCACCACGTGGGTCCTGGGGATTGAACTGAGATCCTCGGGCTCTGAGGCAACTCTTTCCCACCAAGACACCTTACCTTCCCCACACTGCTTTTTGTGGAGGCACCAGGCAGGAGACCAAACCCGTTTCAGTTGGTGTGGCTCTGTCCTCCTGAAGGTCCCATCTCCTGTTCTAGGAGCTCAGTCTAGGACGAAGAGAGGAGTATGACGTTTTGGACAAGAAGTGGGCTCGGGATCCTGAGGTGGGAGGCAAACAGGTAAGGAGCTCCTCTGCCTCTGGGGAGGGTGGGTTTGGAGGGAGGGCCGCTCATCCCAGACGATGGACACTAGACTCACAGTAACATGGATAGGGCCTGGAGCGAGAGGGTGACAAAGACGCACCTGCCGCCGCCCATTCCCTTCTTTCTTGGCTCCGCGCTGCATCATAAAATCCCTGTAGATGAGCATGTCACCCTAGCCTTCATGTCTAGGCTGTCCACCTCTCCTCCATGCTCCTTAGCCACACTGTAGTATCACCTGCCTCCATAGGACAGCCCTATGTCAAGATACACACAGGAGGCGGCTAAGGCCATGGAGAAGGAGTCCTGGATTCTGAATACCCCGTTAGAACATGGCCACATCAGGCTCTAGGTGCCTGTGCCCTCTTGGCTTTGTAGAATCCATTCCTGTAGGGAGGGGAAGGGCCAGATGATTCCTCTGTTGGACTAGAGAGCTCCTAATAGCAGGGCTCAGGACAAAAATCCAGTTTAAGATCAGTACTACTCAATGCTACCCCAATGTCCTCAGTGTTTTTGGTCATACCTGTCCACTCAGCCCTGACCTAGGTCCTCTTGAGTTCTGTGCTGGGTGTGCATTGCTAGAGGGTGTGGAAAGTTTGAAAGTCCCTAACCCCTGTTGCATCCTCCAACCTCAGCTCTGAAGACCAGGAGGGTGTGGGGGAAGGGCAAGGAGGGTGCCCCAGTTTTCTGTGGCCACACCTCAGTAGGGTTTGCTAAGCACTGACTGGCTGGCTCTGCCCTGAAGGAGGTGGCCCAGCCCGTGCCTCCGTGTATGGTGCATATAGGAGTACATCTACAAGGGAAGCCCATCAGGGCCTGCCCAGGTGCGAATGTGAAGTGTGCGTGCAGCTATGCATCACCAAGTATGAGCTGTGGAGTTAGTTACTGCCGGGGTCCAAGGGTGGCCTGACAAGGCTGGAGAATTGGAGGAGACTGACAGCTGAGCCATAGGACAAGGCAGCATGGGGTTGATTACACTTTCCAGCCTGGATTCTCTCTATCTAATCTCTGCCCTTTTCTGTTCCTCAGCAGAGGAGGAGGAACCCCCAGGAAGGCGTGTACAATGTAAGTGTGAGAGAATTCATCCTTCACCCTAGGGAGCTGGAAGAAGGCTATCGGAGGGGCTGCTCTCTGTCTGTCTATGCCAGCCCTTCCCTGGATGGTCATGTGTCACGGGCTGGTAGCTTTAGAACATCCCTCTAAGCTTAGCAGTGTCACAGTACCTCATCTTTTTTGTTGTTGTTCCATGGACTCTGAGCCGGTGGTTGGGGAACAGGATGGCAGCTGCGAGCTTTGCTGGGCAGGAGTGGAAGGAGTGTAGAGCTGGCTTATCTGAGAGGGTGCCGATCCCATGGGCTTCAGGATTCTGAGTACTTTGTCTCATTGCTAAGTCCACCCCACCACCGTGGTGTGAAACTATAATATCAGGCCACCAAGGTGCTCCTCACCACTGCTGGTGACACAGGGAAGTGGCTGATCCATAGCCTGTGCTATTGGCTGTGAAGAGATGACTTGTCCAAAGAAATGATGTATTCCTACCCTTGAGCCCTTACGTCGTCCAGTCTCCCTGCCGGGTTTTAAAGGTCTAAGTCCTGCACCTAACCTCACCTGTTCAGTGTACAGAGCAGGTAGATTGGAGGAGATTCGCAAGTCAGGCTGAGGGGCACAGGAGACTTGGTTGTGGGCAATGTTTGCAAGCCCAGGGTTTGGAGCCTTGATGACTGGTGCCTGCCAGCTTGGGAATCCAGAGGCTTCTGGGGGAAGCCCACTCTGTACCAGTTAAGAAACCGCATTACCCCTTCCTTCAGGCTCTGCAGAAGGACAAAATGGCGGAGGCCTACAGTGAGATCGGGATGAAAGGAGAGGTGAGCACTTCTCTTCCCTGGCGCCCAGGCGGGTCCCTTCTGGTCTTCCCAACACACTGCAGCCTTCCAGTCCCTTCCAGTCCTCTCCCGACCGAGAAAGTGCATGCCATGGCTGCCCTAAGTGACGGTGTCACTGGACAGTTCCTGAGACTAGAGATGGGCTGAGAGACAAACCTAAAGCCTGAGGCTAAGCTTTGCTGGAAGCAGATTGAACCTTTTCAAGATAATGTCACTGTCCATAGCACTGTTGTGTGTTGACACTAGGTCCCAGGGGAGAGTGAAGGTGTGCACAGCTCCTTGTTCATTAATGATTTCATAAGAATCTCAAAATATCTAGGGCAGATCATTGAGCTCTTCTGAATAGGGTACCCTGTGCGACCAGCTGGCCAGCTGTGTGGTCTGCTCAGTGCTTTCCATGGGGAGGATGCTGCCTCCCTTGGGAGGAAGATGTGCACTAACTTAGTATCAGCACTTGGAACCACTCAGTACCTAGTTGCCATTCTTAGTGAGTCATTCTGATGGTAAAGCATTTTGGGAGCTATGCAGAAGTCCACTTACCCCAAGCAGCCAGTAAAATGTCCCACATGCCCGAGATCTGAGTTGGGCAGAGTGAAATTGGCCCCTCTCTGAGTCAAGTGTCATCTTACTCTACGAAACAAAGGTCTGGCCAGTGGCCCAAGGACCTTTCTGTACCGTGTGTGTGGTGGTGGGGGGTGGGGTGAAACAGTCCCTTCTGATCCCTTGAGGGGGGGCAGTTGAGCAAGCGTGCTACTGATTCCCTTCTTTCTCATCTTGTTTCCAGAGGCGGAGGGGAAAAGGGCACGACGGTCTTTACCAGGTGAGAGCTGCTGCCCCCTTCCTGGGCAGTACTATTTGACACGGGGGAAAGCTGAAGCCACCATGATTTGCTTGCCAGTGGCACTGGCCCTTGTCAACAGCCAGGGAGAGCAAACCCAAACCCAGAGCACACAAGCAGACCGGAGGTCACTCCACTGCCATTATGTCTCTACAGCAGGGTTAGGACTCAGGTGTGGCGGCAGATACTTGGTTTCAGTCAGAGGGCTGTGGGAGCCCCATGCCATTTGGGTATAGCAGATAACAGCAGCTGTCTAAAGGATGGGAGGGGATCCCCCAGAGGTGCAGGCAGAAATGGGTAAGGAACCTTCCCCAGGTAACTGTTTTTTGTCCACTGTTAGCTTAACTCTTCCCTAAACCCCAAGACTTAATCTAAGAGAGTGGGCAGAAAGAATGGGAAAAAAGGCAGCTTTAAATGGGAAATGGTATTGTAATCAGGTGCCTGGTTTATGTAAATCAGTGCAAATTATGTGTGCAGAGAACCTCCTTTCCTAAAGAGAGATCTCCCAGGGGCTTCGTCTTGTTGCTGGCCTTGCCTGAGCTGCTTACCGGCAGCTGCGGAGGTCCCATGGCCTTCCCGGTGAGACTGGGACCAGCCCTGCCTGCCTGTCCAAAGAATATATATCCCACAGTAGCCAGAGACTGGAGATTCCTGGATAGAGACTGAGACCAAGGAACTGCCACTTTCCCAGGGACATCTCTGTCTGGCACCTCCCAGTCTGTGAGTGGGGGAAGCTGCCTTCCTATTTGGTTGGATGGATGTTGCAGGGCAGTTTGAGACGTTGAGAAAGCTGCAAAGGTGTTGCTTCCAAGTCATTTGTAGTAAGACAAAGATCCCATCTTCTGGTCAGCATTCTCAGGCAAGACTCCCCACCTGTGGCGGGAGGTGATCTTCTTGGGCTGCTGAAGGCAGTGGGATCCATGGATGAGCTACAGACGGTAAACTTTCATCTGCGGACTCGTTCATTCTTACGTGGTTTGCTTTCACCAGGGGCTCAGCACTGCCACCAAGGACACCTATGATGCCCTTCATATGCAGACCCTGCCCCCTCGCTAACAGCCAGGGGATCTCCCACTCACAGGCCTGACCTGCTGACATCGACTGTGAAGAAACATTTACATCCCAGTTTACTGATTTCGCAGCCACCATTTCATGAAGAGGATGCTTCCAGTTGTTATATTTGTCTTCTCCAGTCCCAAAGCACCGCATACAGAATGTCATCCCTGGACTTTAAAGGAGAGCTCCCCTCACTCTTAGGCCAGCCCAGTTTCTCTGGTCTTCTGGTAGACCCTTCTCACAGCAGAGCCACGCCCTAGTGAGGTCAGGGGTGGGGGCACTGACAGCTGAGTTCAGTTTGCTTTGTAAATCTCCAGAGAAGGCCTGGGTCTGCTTGTATTGTTCCATTGGCATTGACTTGCTTTGCTCCTGCTGTAAATTTGGCTTCTGTTGTCACCCTTCCCAGCATCAAGCTAACCTATAATTAGGCCACGTTGTGAAAGGTGGAGAGGCAGGTAGGAGGGAGCCCAGGCAAGTGTCGGCCAGAGGGGGCTAAGAGAAGGCGAGCACCATGCTTGGAACTTGCTGGCACAGTTACAGGGGTCCCCCTCCCATTAAGCATGTGTTCTACATCTCCCAACCATGCCTTACCTCATGGAGAATACACTCGAATGCAAATGATTTGTGCACAAATCGGCACAGGCAAGAAAACAGGGTATGTCATTACAATGAACTAAGCCAAGGGGATCAAAAAGAAAAGGGAGCAAGTCCTCCCTTCTTCCAGGAACTTGAGTGGCAAGAAGACCAAGACTACCCAGGTCTGCAGTGCTCACACAGCCGTGGCACAATGAGAGACTGTCAGGAGGACTGCAACATCATCATGGCTGTGTCCATGGCCGGAGGACCCTCTGATCTCAGGGGTTTTAATTTATAGTGGCTTGCTAAATAAAGCCTCACCATTTTGCATAATAAATGCTTTGCTAAAACTGTTGTTGGAGCCTTATTTCAGTGGTGAAGCCTTGTCGAGTCTGCTGCGCGGCCTGTGTCCGAGAACGTGCGGAGGGTGTCGGGGATTGACAACACAGAGACTTGTTCAACGATGTAAAGAAAACTTTAAGCAGGCCCCAAAAAGGTTCAAGAAAACTTCCTAAGAAAGGCTCCCACCAGAGAAGCTTCTGCTCTCTCCTCTCCCCTGGCTGGTTCTGCTCTGACCCCAGAAACTGATCTGGGCGTGGCAGAAGAGGTGGTTAGTCTTTGGACAAGGTCGAGGTCAGGGTGGTTTCTGTGGGCAGGCCTTTTCCAGGAACTTAATGCCCCCAGGCATTGTATTGTTTTTAGTAAACATTGTCTTACAGCTGCCTACTCCCAGGCAGAAGGGGAAGTGGGTCTCTGCTCAAGGTCTGGCGTTCCCACAAAGCCTGGGGGTTGTAATGGAGACAGGAAATCAGCAAGCTACCTCTGCAGAAAGTGGAAAAACTACTGATTCAGATGGGAAGAGGCAGGTAGCCATCCTGAAAGCTGCCATGAGGCATTGTCTGTGTAGGATTAGCATTGGGCTGGCGGTTGTGCCTCCAGATAGGGAAATGCCCAGTCAAACCTGGCTTTAACTGAAGTGGGAAAGGGTGGTAGGAAGGCCTCCTGAGGCGAACCTCACTATGGAGTGTGGAAAAGCTCAGCAATAACATTCTGGGCAGAGCATCAAGGAGTGAACACCAGCGGCCATAGTAGCCATGTGGGTGCAGAGAGGTGGGGAGGGGACAGTATTTTTAGGTCGGCGTTCCTCACCAAAAATGACCTTTCCCTCAGTAGTACCTCTTCTAAGTGTAGCAACTCTACATAACTTCCCAGTTCACCAAGACCAATTGATAATGGATAAAAGACTAAAATTTGTACATTGGTTTTTCAAAACAGAAATCCAAGGCCATCTATTAAAAGGTCTTGAAAATTAAGAATTCCAACAACAATTCTGCCCAAAATATATAGAAAGGCTTTCAACATAACCCAGTCTCAAAGGGGCTGTCCACTCACCTTGAAGGCTGAGGTTGAGCTGTTTAGATAGTGTGCCTCATATCCAGGCCTGTTTCTAGGCCTCATTTCAAGATCAGCTGAGTAAAGATGGCTGCAAAATAAGTTTGACCCAGTTCTGTTGGAAACGTGTCTCTTAGGCAGAGGAGAGAGCTGGTAGTGAGCTACAGGGCAGGGGATCTCACCTGTAAGGGATCTCACCTACAGGGGAGCTAGAGCGAAAGCAAGCTTTGAGAGAGCTGAGCAGATGTGCCCAGAAGCGGAGAACAAGAGTTCCTGGGAGGAGTGCTCCGGGTCCAAGGTAATGATGCTTATTCCTGTCATAGCCAGGACTCCTGCCCTGCCTGAGGCCTGGCAGTAGACTCTTAATATCACCATGATCTTTCATTCTCGATTCTATTAGCTATAAGATATAGAGTACTATCACTTATTTCAGAGGGCTTAAAACATGTTAAACAAACAGTCCTATTTTGTGGTTAAAATGTAAAGCCATGTGACTTTAAAAAAAATCATGGGGACTGGAGAAATGGTTCAGCGGTTGAGAGCACTTCTTGCTGTTGCAGAGGCCCAGGTTCAGTTCCTGGTCTTGGGAATGAGAACCTCTTCACAGAGAGCCAGGGCGTAGGCTTGTTCTTTGGGCCTTGGGAACAGCTGGAATATAGCTACTTTATAAAAGGATGGAAGAGCCACAGTCTTAATCCTTCAGAGGTATGCCACGTGGGGTTTGCTTGCTAGAGTCTTATGTAAGAAGCTGCCACTGTCTCTACTGCAGAGGATGTTAAAATTTTGAAATTGCTTAAAAATAACTTTATAGACTTATATGCAAGACACAAATACTAGAAGGGAAAGAATGGAAGAGGACAAGCTGATTTGGCTTAGGAGAAAAAGGGAGGGTCCATCTGTCTTTTGGCTTTGGCACTTGTCATTCTGAGATGGGCTCTTGACAGGATATGCCCATCAGGGACACTTCCCGAAGCTTAAGTCCTCTCTCTCTCTGGGAGTTCTAGGATATTTCTCTTTCCTTGTGAGATCAGGGAGCTCTATGAAGGGCCAGAAGTTATAGTGCCTAGAAGGCAGAGGTGCTTAGCATGTGCAACATCGGAGCCAGAGGCCAGTTCAAGACAAGCCGCCTTCAGAGGCTCCTCTCCCACCACCCCTGGATCAGGGCCTGGTAAGAAATGCTACAGGTACCTGGGCCTGTCAGTCAAAGCCCAAAAGAGTTCAGTTCAATCCCAGTCAGCAGTCACACGCACACAGTGAGGTGAGCTTTGTGGAGTTCCCTTGAAGGATCAATCAAGGGCCAGTGTGTTTGATCACACAGAGCAGTCAGGTCTGAAGGAAACTACTGCTACTCAACTCAGGGTTCCATTAACCCCAGTGAGGGTCTGGGGAAAGGAAACACAGTGACTACAGCTTACTAAGGAATCCAGAAGGCTAAGTGGGAGACTAAGGTGCTTAGATTCTGAGGTTCCTAGGAAGACCTGTGATGAGAATGATTTGGAAGGTCCATGTGAGTATCTGTGCAAATACCTGAGTAAAAGCAGCCAGAATACCAAGGCAGCAACCTCATAGAGACACAGACAAGGTGAAAACACTTGGAAAATGGTTTAATGTATTACAACAGAAATTGGAACTGTACAGTTACAGTAAGTTTAATATATATAAAAAATTACAGCAGACAAATGCATCTACACAAACCCACCATTTCATTCTGATTCACTGGCACCCACACAATACCTCCCAAAGCCCGTAGCCCCTCTGGCAGCCCCAGAAGGGGGAATGACATAAAGGGCACTTTTAAAGAGACAGCACCGCTCACAGCCCTCACCACTTCCCCAGGCCTCTGGAGATCAGCTAATCCCCAACAAGTACAACTGCTTGTGTTTCAGGTTTCCCAGGGGCCCAGATAACAAGTTACTAGCTGATTTTTATAAAATACTCCTGGAGGAGAAATGGCTACAGACGCTCTGGGGCAGTGAGGGTACACAGCAGCCACCCACACTGCAGTCACCTTAAGGAGAAATGTAAGAGGACATCCAATCAACTACTCAGGATTGTCACTGCCTCAGTACAGCTGCTGGACAATCCTGGAAAGAATCATGTACATCATATTCTAAGTTTCCACAAAGAACTCAAAGTCACATTTTAAAGTCCACAAAATAATATATTTTGGGAGTTCAAGGTGCCAATTCCCCTTGTGTTCCTCCCTTGACAACAGTGGAAAAACACCCCTGAATCAATATTAATTAAAAAAAGTGAAAAAGTGGGGAAGTTAGGATATTTAAAGACAGAAATAAACATCTTTAGAAAAACACAATCACTGTCTCTTTAAAACCAGACCCCAGCTGGGCGTTATCAGTGACTCCACACTCAAGTGGACACCGTGGAGAATATTACTGAATAGTATGTACACTCAGAACCTTTCATTTTTATTACGAACAACTAGGCAGTGAAAACTGTTATGTTAATACATACAGACACACCCAAAACATACAAAAATACTATTTCAAACTACCAAGAATAGGACAGCGCAAATATTTCATGCTATGACTTTAAGAGCAATACACTGAAACAAACAAGAAGGTAAAGACATTTTTTTTAATATCCTGGAAATATACCAAAATATACATCTAAGCTTTGGAATTATTGAGGTTAGACTAATGCAAGTGCTGGGTAATCGTACTTAATACACAAGTCTAAGGTTCTGCAGGAAAGAAATTGTCTTTGGTATCTGCATCAGGCTAGTATTATTAACATTTGGATTTTGCTTTGGGATAGAGCTTGTATGACCCTAGAACCAAATACCCCCCTCCCCCAATCAACTGAGATTAAAAAGATCCATGTAAAAATCTCCTTCATTTGCAACCCCCCACCCTCCCACCCAAGTTAAAAAGTCACAGGCATCTACCTAGCACAAAGGTTGTGAAATACAATGCATAGTTGCACAGTGGTGCTGCAAAAGGAAAAAAAAAAACTACACACAAGGAAAGGAAAGTCTGAGAATCGCTCTTATGTTTCCTCACAAATGGACAGCCACTTCCAAGCAGGTCCAGTACAGAAAAGAGAAAGAAGGCTCAGAAGGGCCCCTCGGGTGTAAACCCAGCCCCAGAGGTGAAAGCACCCGGCAGAGCAGCCAATCCTGTGCCAGCGTCTTCAGCGTCCCCATTCTGTGGAGCCCATGGCCATCCTGCAGCAGCTCCCAGCTCTAAGGCCCTGTGCTAAGCTCTGGTGATGACCCTGGTTGCTGTTAAATGAGCTGTGGTGGTGATGGGGTTTTGGCTTTGGAAAATCTCATGTGCCGATATTTTTATGCATTTTTTTTGCCGCCCACAAGCTGGCAAGAGCCAAAACTACTGGGTGGGCACCTGAACAAAAAAACTCTCAACTTGGAAAAAAGCTTGCCTGCCCTTGAGCTTGTTTCTAAATGCCAGGACACCACAGACTGGATCGAGGCTGAAGACTTCCCTTTTCTTTGGTTTTTTTGTTTGTTTTGAGTTTATACAATCATTAAGAAATCTTTGGTTTTGGCTGGAAATGGAAAAACAAAACAAAACAAAGAAACCACCCTCCCCTGGCTTATAGCAGCAGTGTTATGACCTGACCTGGTTAAGCTTTTTATTTTTGCCCCCAACTTTGGGGTATGGGGATTACAAGTTGAGAACTACATTCAAAGAAAACACTGAAAGGGCCAGGGATGCAGCTTCCAAAAAGCCCACTGGATATAAGATTGTCAAATAATAATTATTATAATAATATTAATAAACTTAAATATTTGGCTTAGCTTTTTTTTTTTGGTCATGTCACACAGGAAACAAGAGAAATGTGTATGCAGCAGTCAGCTTAAAAGAACCTTTTGTGTCCTTTCTACCAATTCCTGGCAATGAGCAGAACCCTAAGGCTCCAGAGGGGAAGAGTCAGCCTTTGAGCCCACCTGGACAGGCAGGACAGCCGGTGTGTCTAGTGGTTGGAAGTGTGGGGCGGATGGGGGAGGATAGCTGGTAGTGCTTGGAGGCAAGGTGGTGGGGTGGGAAAACAAGAGACCTGTGAAGATCCCTGACAACAAAACAGGAGATTGCAATTTGCCCTCAGTCTGTAGTAGCTTCAAAGCAAGACATTCAGAGGCTTAGGGGCAGGGGGCTGTCCCTCCCTAGGCGACAGGTCTTATGATGCTATAGGCCAGAGTTCAATGTTGCTGAGAAGAGGGAGGGCAGACTTGGCAACTCTGTAGGGTTGAAAGAAGTTAAAGCAAAAGTTACTTAGTCACGAGTTAGAAATGAGGTATACAGACAGCTCCTGGACAACAGGTGGGCAGAAAACCCCACACTTACTCACCTACCCTTGACTACTACCACCGAGGAGAGGAAGGACTGAGGCCCACTCTGGGAAGAGGGTATACCTCCCTCAGTGAGTCCTCCTGCGGACTGAGTAATGCACACATTCCCATGGAAGCAGAGGAAAGGAGTGGGAAGAAGCCTCTCGGCATCTGGTCTTAGAGGAGACACGATTTGCCACTATTGTATAAGCCAACGTTGTAACAGTCTTGACAAACACATCATCCCCATTCCCGAATTGTTTGCAATTTTAACCCTGACCAGGTTAGCACGAACTAGTTCACTTCATTCTTATAAAACATGTGTCCTCTGCAGACTCATGTAAGAATGGAACCAAGACACATGGCCCCCAGCCAACCTACCACAGTGCTCCTAAGTGACAGTCACACAAGCGTGGGAAAGCGCATTGCGTTTCCTCTTTAATTTTCAGATCTCGAGACACTCTCAGGGCTGGATGGGCATCAACTGCACATTTTTATCTAAGGAGATCGCATAAGGAGCTCCCATGCACCGATGTTTCCTTGTTGAAACAGCACTGTAGCCAGCTATCTGCCTGCAGACCTTGGATACAGCAATGGAGAGCAATACCACTGCCAATTAAGCAAAGAAGCTTTGAGTTGCTTTTGTGAGGCTGTGGTTATATAAAACAATGGTGAACGAGTAAACAAAACATGGGAAAATTTTACAGCAGACCTCAGCTTCACCCCTCCCCAGTAAATAAGTCTGGGGTACTTAACTCCTGACAGTGTCCTGGGTTTGAACCAGAAGGTGGCAAAAAAGGTGGTGGAGTCCTGTGCAGTGCGAGACTCAGGGATGCGGAAAAATCATACTCTGCTTCCTTCCCTGCACCCAGAAACTTCACTTTCACAGTTGAAATGATGTTCATGATGTACACATTGTTTTCCCACAGCATTTGTTTCAAGTGCTCTTATAGTTAATATCTCTATTACCATATAAAGCTACCTAATGCTTTGAAAAGTCACAGAACATCAACACGACTTTTATATAATGTCAGAATAAAAAGTAAAGCTTTCATGAAGTTTAGCAACCTGATCACGTTTGTTGGACTATTAGTAACGTGTCTTTTCCTTCTCTCCTGTCTATGTTTATCAATAGTATGCCTAAATAATGAGCTTTTTAACTTCCTAGAGGTCATATCCTAAAAACACAGTAGAGGAATACTCTACAGGAGAGTAAGAAAATATCATTTGGCTTTCATGTAGTCTGCTCTTTATAATTGAATATTGACTGTTATCTAACAGGTTGGATGGAATAGTTTTATTTGTAAGAATTAAAAGGGAAATAAAAATTCTACTATTTTTTGCACTTCTCAAGTTTTTTGCTCTGCAAGAATACCAATGTTATGCCGAGCGATACAACCCATATTCACACAGCAGCAGGGAGGAATAAAACCAATTTCTTTCCAAAGCCATAACGGCCAATAAGATATCTTTCAAAAAGTGAGGAAGAAGTGGAGGAAACAGGAAGAAGAGAGACAAGGTAAAGCTTTTCCCAACCTTAGCATTTTGCTCTGTCCTCTGACTGTTTGGAAAGCTTAACAATAAGCAACGGTATAGCAGTATCTTTGGTATCAAAATCAAATCCCACTCAAGTTCTGTGAGATATTTATTTAAAAAAATAGTTCTTGAGATATAGTTTGTATTGGAATTCAGGGAGCCAAGAAAGTTTGCCCCAGAAAGAGGGCAGAAAGGTTTTTAACTTTTCCCTAAATCAACACAATTTCTCACTTCTTCCACCTCATCAACCAACCCTTCAATGCCACATCTTGCTACAGGTGCCAAGTGTGCAATTAGCTTGAAACTTCTTGATTTGAGTTTTCTTTTGTTTGTGTTTTGGTCTAGATAGAATTATCCTTGGTACAAGAAAAGGAAATAAGGTTTTAAAAATATTGGGCCACTACTAGCATAGTGTTCACTAACATAACAGAGGATGACTTATTTCACCTCAATTTTCCTAGACCAAGATATATCACTTACCTCTCCAAATTCCTTGGGTACATGTCTCTCTGTCTGTCTCTTTTCATTTGCACAGTTGGACATGCACATACTCTTTCTTTGCCTAGACTTTAGTTATGCACAGAGGTAATGGATCACAGAGGCTGGCAGGTCTGGTGGGGAGGCATGGTAGCCACAGACACAAGGGTTGTAAATCTGTCCCTGGGCACCCTGAACCTACTGGACACCCCACATGTCACCTGCACACTGTGCTGCATATCAGATGACAGAGGCCTCAAACCCCCATCCAACTATAGGGAATATCAAGTTTCCTTTGGCAAGACAGATATAAAGAAAAAAAAAACATACAAGCAGTATTTTCCTTCTAACATAATCAATTTCTCCTTTCTCCCACTGCAACCCTCCCTAACCCTATAAACAGGATCCCAAATACTTACAGCATCAATCATATGATCAACCATAATAAACATTAGTTCAACTAAATACTACAACTAGAATTATTTCCACTATTTATAAAGATTTTTTTCTTTTACTTACTTGGTTTTTAAGTCTAAAACCAGTTCTGCAACAATGCTAAGCTGTGCTGAGGTATTTTAGAAGGTGCTAGAAGCTGTTGCCCACGAGCATTATTCTCACAGATTAAGGTACCACCATTCAAAGAGAAAAAGAAGGAAAGGAAAGAGTCAGAGGTCCAGATCCCAGAACTGACACATAATTCACTCAAGCTCACTGCTTTTAGTAAAGCCCCAAAGCAGAGAAGTCACAATAAGGAACTACTTCATGAATAGAATGCTGGTAGAAGAAGTTTTAGTCACAAATCCATCAGGTACTGGGTACAAACTGGACAGGTTCCCTGCCTCCTGGTAGAACCTTACGCTTACTCCCCATGACTGAAGAAGAAGAGGAGGGAAAGAGGATTCCATCATTCTTTAATAATGAAAGCAACTTATTTCTGCTTTTTTTCTATTTAGGCCTGTGTGTACACCGTGGGTACTATCACGTAAACCTACAGTGGCTCTTAGTTTCAGAGAAATAGCAAAGAATTATTTTTTCCTCCTTAAAACTGAAAATAATATTAAAGTCTTATTTTTATAGGTATCTGAAAATGATTTCAAAACAACCAGGGATCTCTTTATATGAATAATAACAGGGTAAATGCTGTTCATACCCACAAATCAAAGTGAACTCATTAACAGTTATGAATAAATAAATTATTACGTCAGTTTCTGCCCACTTGGATAATTACGGGTTTCAGGTCTTTTAGTAATTTCCTCCCATTGGTACTGAAGTCTTTAATGTTTTCAGTTCTAATAAGTACACTTTATGTCCATCAACTTCAGAAGCCAATGTAAGGTTTCTAACCAAGCTCTTCTGTGGAGCTGTAAAGGCCCTTCCCTCTGTCTTAGCAGTGCTCAGACTACAGACTGGTCTGTCTGTTCCTCAGGGCCAGCAGGAAACTGCTGCACACTGGGGCAGCATATCTATCTTGGGAGGAATAGGTGCCTCTTTGCCTTCTATTTCAATGACCTTATTTCTCTCTTGGTCAAGAAAGATTTGTGAGGATGACATAGCTTGAGAAGAACTTCAAATTATTAACGATAGCATTTTTTCTAACATAATATCTCTATATTTACAAATGTACCTGGTGTTTCCAGCAAGTTAACTGTTGTCATTTAAGATGAACTGAAATACTGTCAAGCAAAAACCTGTGCTTCTGGATAATAAAGAGATTATTTTCCCTATCTTCCCAAGTAATTGACGGATCGATAATAGACACAAAAATATTAAAGAGGTATTAATTGTGCTTTTCCCCTAAAACAAATTGAATGATGATGTAGAACATATTGGCAAGATGATCACACCCAAAATCCTTTTGAAATTGTCCCTTTAAAGCTTATGAAGTATAAATAGGTTGGTCCTACACAAGATGAAAGCCAGATTCCTTTGGTTCCATTCTGGGGTAATAAGTTACATCAATAGGACAGTAATGACCTTCCTAACAACAGATAAAGCAAGTTAATGGATAGGAATAATGTTTCCTCATTCTAAAAAGCTGCCTATAGGACTTCAGAGACATTCAAGCTAACAGAGCACTCTACTGATTCCTAGAACAGTAGTACTGCTCCTGTGAGAACCCATACAGATCTTCTGTTGTCATTCAGATTTACACAGGGAACAAGTAAAATTTATGCCAAACTGCATCGCTTAAACAGGATTAAACAATTACATTCATTACTCTCCAGGGAGGGCCCATTATCACAGGCAATTATAGTATCCCTAAAAATGCATTCAAAATTAGTCTTTGGCTTACTATGTATTAACTAAATTCAGGACTGAAATAAAGTGTGCATAAATGTCATGGGGAAGAAAAGGAAAATGAAATAAAGGGGTTGTAACAACCCATCTGGTATTTCTTCTGGAAATGCAAAAACTCAACAGAATGTCATTTATTCAAATGACCCCTTTAGTTTCTAGATTCCCTCATAAAAGGCAGCTAAATGTTTTGAGTCTGAGTACTTTAGCTTCAAAGATAATTCAGTCAATTTAAAAACATTTGAGAGCTTTTTAAAAAATGTGATAGCAACTGAAAATTAGCCACGGTGTTTGTGAAGCATTGAGACTGCCAAGACCGAGGGATGGTGACGGAAGGTGACTTTACACTCAACACCCACCAGCAGGTATTAGTAGTGTGTCATGTATACATGTATAAAGTACCCTTCATCTTACAACTTAATTTTGAATATATGAAAAAGGAGAGGAACAATTAAAGTTCTTTGTCTAAAGATTTTTTTCTTCTCAATACAGCGTTTATGCTGGTTTTAAAGTTTATCCTCAAATGAACTATATAAAAAGGCAGCATTCCTTTCTCAAACCAACTAGATAGAAACTATAGACAAAGGAGGAACTGACGAACCTCTGGACTGACATTTAAAGCTTAGTATCGTCTTTAAAATCAAAGTCTATAGGGGAATCTTATTTAGGAAAAAGATTCTTTTCACCCCATAGGACTAAATAAAACAGACTTTCTCTGTCCTTTTTAACTCCCTGGGCCAGGTCCCTTGAGACTCTACTTCTGGTATGGTGAGTAATCAGCATTTCTCTCCCTGAATTCTTCCTCCTAATTTCATCACTCCCAAGGGAGGGAACTCTCTACTAGGAGCAGAAACAGTATTGATAGCCCTATAATCATGTGAACAGACTAAGGTTAGAGTGTTAAGTCAAGGTAAAAGATTAAATTAACAAGAAAGAAAGAGCTGACAGGGAAGAGAAATTATTAACTGACACAGCCATTCTATTTACACACTGACCTAAACAAACTAGCTAAAAAAATCAAGGTAATGTCTGCCCAGAGGATATTACAATTCACCAACATAAAAGATTAAAAACAAGCAGCAACTTTCACATAAAATTAATCAAGAAAAAATGAATAAGAAATTGTCAGTAGCATCTATCTCCTCAATGTGTTTGAACTGCACATTATAACTAGTCCGTTAGTACAGCAGCTTGCTAAAAATTGACTTTGGTTCAAGCTTAGTTTAAAGAACAACAACAACAAAAACCCACACCATACAAAATAGGTGGATGAGCATTTGTTAGTTTCCCTGCTTGAAGTTCACTGATTTTTTAGAGGGGGTTTAGGAAAAGTTAAGGGTAAGAGAAATTGGGGGAGAGGGGATAGCTGAGAAATAAACAAAAGGAACTAAAGAAAAATTTAAAGGGGAACTAAAATGTTTCTGACCTCTAATATTAACATGACCCCCAATTGAATCACAAAGAAAGATATACATTTGTGTCTGGGTTACTGCCTTTCTGAGCAACAGTGCAGAGAGACAAATGCACAGAATCCAACTTTCCTATGGACACAAGCTAAGCTATCAGAAGAAAGTCACCCCAGCTCAGTGCAAATCAACAGAAATTGAAGCAAGCACCTCAGACACCAATGGGGACCCTAACTCTAGTAAGGGCAACTTATATGAACTTCACTGCAGTGTCCCCATCACTTGTGAAAATTCTGGTACAGACAGCATAATAACAGGGTATTGTCGAAGGGGGAATTTAATCTCTAAATTACCCTCATCCATCTTCATCCATTTTCACAAGCTCTTCCTTTTCAATGGGCTCATTTATGTAGTCTAGAAACACCCTGAAAACAATTACAGGAGCAAATCACTTTTTTACATCAAATAAGAGATGTGTGTCGTCAGCAAACCTATCTAGCTAGCAGGGGTAAAACAAACCAGGAGACACCAACAGGCTGCCACATGCCTGCTCAGCTTTTCTCTGAGGTTCTATAGATCCCTTGCCCAGCCAGGAAAGCATCTCAGAGAGCTAAGGAAAATCTGAGGCTTGGAGGAGCTTATGAGACACTCAGCAAAGTCACAGAACATCTGTGACTCTAGAGCAGAGGTTCTCAACCTTCCTAATGCTGTAACCCTTTAATAGGGTTCCTTATGTTATGGTGAACACCGTAAAATTATTTTCATTGCTACTTTGTAACTGTAATTTTGCTACTGTTATGAATTGTAATGTAGATATCTGATATGCAGATGATCTTAAGTGACCCCTGTGAAACAGTTGGTCAATACCCCCCAGGGGTGGTTGGAGACCCTCAGGTTGAGAACTGCTGCTCTAGAGAAAAGGGGGCAAATCCAGACTCTTTATATTGACCTCTTTGGGCTATGTAATTAGGAAAAAACAGTCCAACAGAATTTCTTTAGAAAACAAAGAAGAGAATAATTTCCCAATTTTAGTAAGTCAATTTGATTTTGACTAAGTAAGTCAAAAGAAGTTTGGATGGAAAACTTTCATAAAATGAAAACAAACAAGCAAACAAACAAACATCAACAGTAGGAGCATTTAAAAACAAAAAGATAGAAATCAGGAGAACCACCAAGTCAGGTGTCTGCAGTAGTCTTTGCTCTTTGGAACCAAACCCTGCCCTGCAACAGGCACAGCTGTTCCCATTGAAAGTAGCAGAAAGCAGCATTGTTGCACCACAGGGTTCGGGCCTCAGGGTTGCTCAATGACTAGAGGGGGTGAGTGAGAGCTACAGTCAGCAGGAATTCCTTCCTACACAAAAGTGCTCCAAAGGCACCACCTGATGGGGGAGGGGCGTGTGTGGAGTACGAGTGTTTGCACACACTGCCTTCGGCTTCTGCACCAAGCCTCTTGCATAAGTGGCAAAAGAAAATCATTTTCTAGCACCTCTGTAAGAGTCATCAAGGATAAGGAAACCAGCAAGAACATTCCTGGAAGTTAAGAACGCAAGTCTCCCTTTACCCCCAAACCCTCCCTCCCCACAGTGTGGGAGCTCACTGAAATAGGATCCAGGAGCAAGAGATAAACATGTCCAATATATCTATCTATATATATATATATATAAACAATAACAGAGATACAGTAATACAGGCCTGCCTAAATTGTACCAGTTAAGAAAGGAACCCCCAACACAATTGATACGATTATAAACACCTTGTTATGACTTAATGGCCTGTACAACAGACCTATAAAAATGATTTTTTAAGAAAAACAAACAAACAAACAAACAAACAAACAAGAAATCCCTTCCTCTATTGGAACTGGTAACCCACCTTAGCTTGTCATCATGACTGCTGGAAATGATAAGTAGTCCTTTCACTTATTTTTGCCTGTCTGTTTTTGATTTTTTGTTTTTGTTTTTTTTTTTTCTTTAAATTTTTGGTTAGAAAGTTCTCCAATCCATGAAGCAATCCTGAAAAGACATTGTTTTATTATAAAATTAGGCAAACGTTGTCCTGTCTCCATTCTTTTTTTTTCTTCCTGGTGTATGTATGGTTTTCTTCTCTGCATGTCTCCCTCACCCTCACAACATGGTGGGAGGAATCCAATCACATGTGTCAGTTTTTAAACAGTTGGCAGCCCATCATGCTGCAGTGATGAAGGTCGTGGCAGCCCAACTCTGCACTCAGCTTACTGTGCCTTGGAGGCAGTGGTGGTGGTGGAGGCAGCCCCACTGGCAGAGGCTACTGTGAACAGAGAGTTCTGGATGGATTCAGCAGAGGTGGAGGAGGTGTGAAGGCTGGCTGTAGGTACAGGGGTCCCTGTGGAGGCTGCTGCTGCAGAAACCAAGCTTACTGGGTTGCTGGTGAGCAGAGAGAGGTTCTGAGGGTTCAGGAACAGAGGGGCAGTCACAATGTTGGGGGCTCCTCCTGCATTGGCAAATACAAGGTTCCCAGTTGCATCCAGTGACGTTATTGGAAGCGAACCACTAGAAGCAAGAGCTATACAAAAAGACCCAAGAACAGAAAGAACATTAAACTTCCTCCTGGAGAAGCCAAATAACACATCAGCAAAGCTCTACTCAGCAAACAGTATCTCTTTACTGATTATATAATTAAGCCTAATGCTATTATAATGCTATCCTTCAATTCTAATGCTATACCGACATCAACTCAAGTTTATAATTTTGAAACATCTAAAGAACTGAAAAGTCAATTTAATGAGTATAAGCAGGACAAATTAATGGGGAGGAGTTACGAGAACTGTGTAATGAATCAATCATGTTTCTATCTTTTTAGTCAAGTTTGCTTATAAGTATCTGTTAAAAATCCAATAATTTTGTCTTTCCAGTAGAATTTATTTAAAACTACCTCCATTCAAAAAACTACTGGTTGAAGTGATTGAGTGTGAAAAATATATTTAGCTTTTATCAACTCAACTAACAGTATGTAAATTATTCGAAAAAATTCATATAAGATGAAAGCTATATTTCCAAAGGCCTTACTTGTAAACACTTACACATCACTAAATAAAAACGAATGATTTAAAATTTTTGTTTTTGTACTTCTAGAGTCAGACCACTTGACTCTTATGAGCTGTATAAAGAATACTGAGTATTAGGAGGAGATACAACACATAATGATGCGTGAGAGTGATCTAAGGCTAATGGAGCACATTTTTTTTTATGATGCTTCCCCACAGGACAAATCACTAAGATTTTTCTAGCTGAAGGGAATACCTAATTTTGAACATGAATGTACAAATAATATACAACACTGAGCTCTGATGCAGATTGAAGCATTCATGGATTCAAGGCTCAGGGTCACAGATTGACTCTACATCTTTCCAGAGAATGTTCTATAGTCACTCATGCCTTTGTGATAACCCTGTAGACCAGAGATCTTCCCCTGTGCTGTTAAAAGGGACTTATCCCAAGTATTTTAAACAATGTCTCTGCACATGAAAGCCCTACACATCCATGTAACCACCAGCCCAGACACAAGTTGGTCAAATAGAAACCAACAAAACAGCAGGACAATCTAGGCAATTCAATTTTTGTCTGCAGTTTAACATTGACTACAGAATATGGTTAGATATATCACTCACTGGAATGTGCCAAAACCTGTCAGCTTATTTTTGACACCAAGAATTCTTGTTAAGTACAAAGTATTTTAAGAAATAAAACCCCCCCCAAAAAAACCCTCTTCGTTCAATGTAGGAATTTTCCCCAAATCATACAGTAATAAGCATCTTTAGGCACAAAGCTTAGATTCTGAACAAGACAAGGCAGACTCTTCACTGTGTGAATAAGTATCACCTTAAGTAAAACGAGAGAAGGCTAACACGGACCCAAATGGGTTTGGACCCAAATCCAAGGATGTTATGTTCTACACTGATGGGAATGTATATGGGGCAAAATCTAACAAGAGTGAAAAATATCCTGGAGATCTATGGGATGTACTCTACCATTCCAAATAGCTATCTGTCTTCAGGTGGGGATACAACTCGAGAGTTTTAATTTAATAAGCTAACCTTGAGATAGGTTAACATTGGAGGAAAATAAAACTTCCTCCAGCTCTATTCACATAGCAAAGTAAAGTCCAGATTTCTTGGAATATAACAAACCATGTATTGTTTGATGTTTTAACAAATGAACCTCTACATTCTTCTACAAAACTTTTTTACAGGGACATCTTCTTGATCTTCAGTATTTAAGTTTCTCTCTTCCTCACCTTCATCTCTAGCAAGGCAGGTAGATTCCAACACACACACACACACACACACACACACACACACACACACACACACACACACACACACACTCACACTCAGGTGCACCAATAGAGAAAAAAATGCAACTGACCTTGAATAGTAGCCAGTGTACTGTTGCTCATTAGGGCTGGGCTGAGAGCACCACCCAGAGTTCCCGGGTTGAGACTGAGTAAGGCACCTCTGCAAGTGTAAAAGTGGAGTCACTGTACTGCCATGTAGAAACACTGTCAGTTTGACAACATATCCAAATAGATAATAAAATAGTACAGATAATGAAACTGGTACAAATATTGGAATTTTATTCAACTGTAAAGAAAATTGAAATCTGCAGGTAAATAGACCAGAATGACAAAGGCCGTCCGTATATACTCTTTCATACATAGCTCCTAGCTTTGAATCTTTAGCTTATATTTAAGTTGGAGTAACTGTAGGTCAGAAAGCCTAAAATGGTCCATGAAGAGGGGGAGGACAAGAGATCTTAATAGGATAGGATATATGTGTGTGTATGAAAAGAAGAGGAGGGAGTTACGGGGATTAAAGGTTTAAGTAAGTAAGTAAGTAAGGAAGGAAGGAAGGAAGGAAGGAAGGAAGGAAGGAAGGAAAGAAGGAAGGAAGGAAGGAAGGGCAACAGAAGTTAAGGATGTATGAGGAAAAGCATTATAGGAATCCTCTGTGTGTAAGCTTATTAAAACATGTGACAAAAAAATACAGAAAGCCAGGCAGTGGTGGCACATGCCTTTAATTCCAGCACTTGGGAGGGAGAAGCAGGTGGATCTCTAAGTTCAAGGTCAGTCTGGAGTTCAGGAGCAGTTAGGTTGTTACACAGAGAAACCCTGTCTCGAAAAACCAAAGGAGGGGGGGACCAAAAGGAGTTTGAACAGAGGTACCCTAAATGGGTAGACAATATCATTTCCAGAAGACACAGATTATTAACAAAACTCTCGGTGCCATTCATGGGACACTTCCCTGCAAGTTATTGGTCTGGGAGGCTCCAGAGGCCCACCCTCTAAAACAAAACAAAAAACCAAAAGAACAAAACTCAAAATTAAAGCAAACACTGTAGGCTATTGACACTGCTGTTAGTTGTCCATCATAAGTAGATTGTAAGACTATTACTGAACACGCAAATACTGAGGTTGTAGGATACAGAAACATCAAATCTGGAACTGACCAGGAAACTTTCTCCCTGTTGGCTAGTTTTCACAGTGCCAAGATGTTCTATACAGGCAGATTGGGTTCAAAAGGTATCAATAGTCTTACCCAATGATAGATCCTGTATGTTACAATGCTGACCCATCAGGCAAGACATGTCCACTGATGCAACAGTGGTATGACTGTTCTAGAGGTAAACAAGTGATTTCTGATTTGATTTGTGACCTATTGATAGAAGGAAATTCAGACCTGACACTGTAAATCTAGTTATAAGCTCATGGATAGGAAGGTCATTGACAAAGAGGTGGGAGTGGGAGCAGATACCAACTATTGTGATTTTGTTAAATGGTTACAGTGAATTGTCTTCTAAGTATTTACGTTAATATCCATAGACCTATGATGCTTTCAACCCAGGTCAGAGCAGTCTTTTAGTAGTGCACAATGATTAATGCAGACTCATAACTGGTCAAATTGATGAGAATAAGTGACTGTTGAGTATGCAGTCCCAAACACAATGTCTACATCAAGCCCATCTTCCTAACACCAAGACTCAGGGAATATTGAGAAAGATGTTCCTGGGGTAGAAAGGATCTAAGAGCTGAAGGCTGGGGAGTACTACAGTAAAAAGCTGTCTTCTAGACATGACATAGCAGCTGTACTCAATGAATGCGTAGCAGGTATGGTTAGGCAACCTGAACAAGATCAAGCCAGTCAAATACAGTGTGGATGGGAAAGGGCTCAAGAGGACCCATCCCTAGCCAAGGAGCTATTGGTAGCTGATGACTGTTGAAGAGGGAGAATTACATCGTTAGGTTACTCACGCTCCAGTGGATGGCTCTACACTTAAATGCATATAGGCAACACTAACTAGACTGGCTCCTTGAAGGAAATAGAGACACGAAACATGAAGGTGTGTGTGTAAGGGGGGTAGGGTGAGGGAGAGGGAGAGTTCAGGGCAGTTTGGGAGGAATAGGGATCAGATATGATCAAAATACATTGTATACATGTATGAAATTATCAGAGAATAAAAACTATATGAAAAATATATAAAACCAAACATGACTTTACTCTGAGGTGTTATCCATTTGAGAATTATAAAGTAGGTAAGCTACACTTCAATGAAGAAAGCTTAAGAATAAGGAGAATTCTGAGCTTTCTTCCTGGCTCTTACCACTGAGTTACTCAGAGTCTTGTGTCATCATATGGAAATGGTAATATGACTACTTAGAAACGTAAGTTCACATTATCATCAGAACAGTCTATGCCAGGTTTGTTTTTCATGTAAGAGTGAAAAATCTTCCCTATGAGTTGCAGTGATGAGTTCCTAGTTCTATGTGGTAGTTTGGAAGAAAATGGCACCACCCAATGGGAGTGGCACTATTAGGAGGTGTGGTTTTATAAGGGTAGGTATGGCCTTGGAGGAGGAAGTATGTCACTATGGAAGGTTTTTGAAGTCTCCCTTGCTCAAACTTTGCCCAGTGTGGTAGACAGTTCACTTCTTGTTGTCTGTGGATCTAGATGTAGAACTCTCAGCTCCTTCTCAAGCACCATGCCTGCCTACACGCCACCATGTTACCCACCAAAACGATAATGGACTAAACCTCTAAAACTGAAATCTAGACTCAATCACATGTTTTCCTTTATATAAGCTGTTGTGATCATGATGTCATGTCACAGCAATTGAAACCCTAACTAAGAGACTCTGTTTTGGATGCAAATAGAATGAGAAAGCGTCTTACCCAGCAGCAAACTGTGAGGGTGCCATGAGGCCTGGATTGAGTCCTGCAGCAGCAGCCATGGCAGCAAGACTGGCATTTGCTGGCAACTGTGCAGCTCCTTGGAGAGCAGCAGCAGCTGCTGTTTGCAAGCCAGATGCTGTTACCATCACCTGGCTAGCCCCAAGAGGGGACGGAAGAGGCGTGGAGGTGGTCTGTGTTGTGCTGGTCTCACTGGCACTAGAAGCCTCAGAGGTGGAGGCTGAGGCAGAAGGGGAGGGACTCAAAGAGGGGGATGTGACTGCTGAGGAAGCAGGGGGTGCTGTAGAAATCACGGTGGCTGTGTTGTTGGATGTAGTGTCTGTAGTGCCTGAAAAGGGAATCAGATTAGGAAAAGACCTTCTGTAAATGGGTTTGGAAAGCTAGTCATTTCATTCAGTATCTAGGATCAAGGAGATGAATAACCTACTCTCCACTAATCCTTAGTTGCTCTTTTTTATTAATCAAGTTTAGCACTTCTACAGACATTATTATTACTACTACTAATAAACCATTTTAAAGCCAAAGCAATAACACAACTCTCAAACAAGTTATTTCCCCCAGCATTGACTTTCTATTAAAGAAAAAGGAAAAAAAAAAAAAAAAAAAAAGGAACTGAGGAGCTATAGACATGGCTTGGTGGGTAAGAGCACTGGGTGCTCTTGCAAAAGACCCAGGTTTGACTCCCAACAGCAACATGGAAGCACACAACCATCAGCAACTCTAGTTCCAGGGATCTGAAGTCCTCTTCTGGCCTCCATGGAGATGAGACACAATTACTCCAGTGTGGGTATTATTAAGTCTACCCTGCTTCATTATTTCTTCCATAAATCTACTGGGCCAAGCCCTGCCTTTTGCACCTGCTGCTGTGGTAGACTCAAAAGTACTTCCCCAGTGGCACCTTCTGGCCTCCACAAGCATGTACATCAGCATTCATACGTAAACAAACATGCATAGAGTTTACTTTTAGCTACTAATTAGTCTTCTACATACATTCTGCATAAATTATTTTCATTTTCTTTCTCTCTCTCTTTTTTTTTTTTGGTTTTTTTCAAAACTGTACTGTTTTGGAGGCTGTCCTGGAACTTGCTCTGTAGATCAGGCTCACAGAGATCTGCCTGCCTCTGCCTCCCAAGTGCTGGGATTAAAGGCGTGCACCACCAATACCTGTTTGGACCATTTTCTTAGAGTACAAAAAAATACACCTGATTCCAAATGTTGGTTTCATATCACACAACAATAGGACAATACGAATAAGAGCAGTTTAATTTCTCCCCTTATTAAACTGGCTGTTACGATGTTGATGTGAATGTCAATTGAAAGACCAAGGGAGCAAGTGCTTGGCAGAAGTGGTTAGTCTCTGGCCATTTAAGTATGCTTTTTGCTGTGGGTTTTGGGTAGCTTCTCTTGATATGTGGAAGCAGCTCCTTCTGTTTACCACAAATGGTTTGTATTTGCTAAATATCTTTTATCCAGCTATCCAGGTTTTATCTCAATTTCTATTCCTATTGTACAATATGTTAATTGGTGTTCAGATATTAAACTGACTATATAATCTTGGGGTAAATCCCTCAGTAACAATGAATAATTTTTTAACATGTTGTCAGTTTTCATTTGCAAAGATTTTTCTTTTCCTTACTCTTTCCCTTCCTCCCTTTCTCATTACAACTGATGATTATGCATGTTTCTCTGAATGTAGAAAAATTATTACTACTGATGGTTTGTGAAGAAAGGAATCACTTGAAATCACTTGAATAAGGGATGTTTAACAACGTAAGTTTGGAAACAATGTAGGAAATGGACCAATAGAAGAAAGAACAATTAAAAAAAATTTTTTTTTGCTGGCCTGGTAGCCCACACCTTTAATTCCCGCACTCAGGAGGTAGAAATACGTAGGATCTGAGTTCAAGAACAGACTGGGGGGTTGGAGAGATGGCTCAGAGGTTAAGAGTACTGACTGCTCTTCCAAAGGTCCTGAGTTCAATTTCCAGCAACCACATGGTGGCTCACAAACATTTGTAATGAGACCTGGTGCCTTCTTCTGGCCAGCAGGCATACATGTAGGCAAAACACTGTATACATAATAAATAAACAAACAAATAAATAAATAAATCTTTAAAAAAAAACAGACTGGACTACAAAGTGAGTTCAAGGACAGCCAGGGTCTGGTCTCAAAAAACACACACACACACACAAAAAACAAAAAAACAAAAACAAAAACAACCCCTGCTCAAGTTCAGATTTACATACACAGAACTAGTGCATGTGTTTGCATGTATGTGAGAAGGTACGTATGAAGGTCTGAAATTGATGCTTAGTGTTCCTCCTTGGTTGATCTCTACTTTATTTACCAAGGCAGAGTCTCTTACTGAATCTGGAACATTTGTGTAGCCTACCTATCAGCTTGTTCTGGGGGATCCCTTTCCCTGTTTCCCCAGCAATGAGATTATGGATGGGCTACTAAGCCCACTTGACTTTTAAGTGTACACTTTTTAAGTGTACACTTTGTATCTGATCTCTGGTCTTCATGACCTCCCAGTTTTGTGATATATTGTTTGTGTTCTGGCAAATAAAGATTGCCTGGAGACCAGATGGTGGAGCTACTAGCTATTCGTTAACCACAGAGAGGAGACAGGAAGTGACAACATGGGGCACAGACGGGATCTCTCTCCTTTTGGGCTGAGGATTTGGAGAGGTAAGAGTGACCCACAGCTCCTTTGCTTCTCTGATCTTTCAACTTTTACCTCAATATCTCACTTCAGATTTTTATTGATAAGACTTAATTAGGATCATACTTCACCCTAGACACCTAGAAATATATTGTTTTAAATAGCAATTCAAAACGTAAGGTAGCACCTTCATAATTTAGCAGGTCTTCTGCTTAACAGCTTGCAAACTGGTTGTTGCTTACCTGTAAGAGAGAGATTAGTCACTGCAGCACTGGTTAAGGGAAGGACAGGGTTGACTGTGAGGGTTGTTGCTGTACTGCTTGTCACAAGGCTTGGAGTAGTTGCCACCTAGAGGTCGGACAAGAAAAAATGCACAACACATAATCAGAACTTGAATGGGCCTTCAATTTGAATAATGTTGAGTCAGACAAACTCTAAATCAGCTAGAAATAGTATAACTGCCAAAATCACCTAAACAAGAGAATTATCAGATAGCATCAGTGGTTTTTTTGTTTTTTTGCTTTTGATTATCTTGACTTTATTTTTTAACTACAGATGTGAAGCAGACTTTGTTTTGGCAGCTCTGTGTAGCGCTTGCTGTCTTGGAACTTACTCAGTAGACCAGAATAGCCTTGAACTCCAAAATCCACCTCTGTCTGCCTCCTAAGTGCTGGGATTAAAGACATGGGCCACTACTTACCTGTTGACTTTTTAAAAAAAAAGACAATTTTATGGCAGAGTGTAGTGGTGCCTGCCTTTAATCCCAGTACTCCTGAGGCAGAGGCAGGCAGATCTCAGAGTCCCAGGGCTACACAGTGAAACCCTGTCTCAATAAACAAACAACAAACAAACTCCTCACTATGTTGCTGTGGGATAATCCTTCTGCATTCTGCAAATGTTTTATTCTCATTGCTTATTAAAGCTGCTTTGGCCTATAGCCAGGCAGAATAAGGTTAGGTGGGAAAGCCAAACAGGAGATACAGGGAGAAAGAAGGGCAGGGTGGAGAGAGATCCCAGTCAGCCACCAGAGGAACAAGACATGCTACAGAACAGGTAAGGCCACAAAGCCACATGGCAAAATGTAGGATAGAGCTAGTTAGTAATAACTCTGAACTTAGACTGAGTGTTCTGTAATTAATAAAGTTTCTGTGTGTATATTTGGAACTGGGTAGTTGGGACAAAAGAAAAGTTCCATCTCTGCTTACACTGTGTAACTGTGGTTGGTCTAGAACTCACTGTGTTGACCAGCCAGGTCTTCAATACAGAGATACACCTGAGTCCTGAGATTAAAAGGTGTGTACTGTTACTGGGGCTAGGAACCCGGGGTTAGACAGAGTATAGGCCCAAGGGGAGAACCTAGTATTACTCTGCTAAATGGACATAGTATTAATCTAGCTCCTAAAGACTTATCATTACAGATTAGTGTGGTGATATACTGTTCATGATTTATTAAAGCTTCCCTGAGGATTCTGAAAGCAAAGTCAGCCACAAGCCATAGAGCCAGGTACACACCTTTAATCCCAGGACTCAGAATTAAGTAGATGCATCTTCTGTTAGTTCAAGGTCATACTGAGCTATATAGTCCTATTGAGAAACAGTTCACACAAAGATGATCTTGGTACTTGGGATCACATGACTTTAATCCCAGGACTCATGAGAGGTATTTAAGACAGGACCAAGGTCTCAGAGCTGGCAATTCATTCTTCAGCCAAAGTCTCTACCACACTGAGGAGAGCATAGCAGAGTGAATCAGAGGAGCAGTGAAATAGGGAACAGTTTGAGGATCCCCCCTTTGGTCTGAACTGAGGTAGAGGTAAGAAAGAGCTGGTGGCTGGCTATTTTGCTTTTCTGATCTTCAGCTTGAAACATGAACCCCAGTATCTGTCTCTGGGTCTTTTATTTTATGTGCTACAGATAAGTGTACCTCTCTTTTATCAGAGAAGCTCGTTTTAGAACTAGATGAACACAGAGGTTCACAACTGGTCATGGTGTACACATAAAGGACATTAAGGAATGTTTGGCCCTAAAAGGGACAACTAGCCAGGCAGTGTTAGTACACACACCTTTAACCCCAGCACTCAGGAGGAAGAGGCAGGCAGATCTCTGAGTCTGAGATCAGCCTGCTCTACAAAGTGAGCAGCCAGGGATACATAGAGAAATCCTATCTTGAAAAAGCAAAAACCAAACCAACAAAAAAGGGGACATTTATATCACAACTCTAAAGGTTCAAGGATCATTGCAAAAGGGAGGAAGGAAAGATTCTAAGAGCTGGGGAAGGTAGGTGATTATAGGGAAATTGTCTTCTTGACCCAGAAGGGAAGGGAACCACTCACAGCAGTTATGACAGCACGCACAACACCCACAGAAAAGACCCTAGCATGAAGGAAGGAGGGGCATCAACTCCAACTCCTACTTGTGGGACAGCTGGCACCTGACAGCTGTTGGGAGCAGGAGTGGTTTTTTCTTTTTTTTAAGGTGTGGTCACCTAAGAGTACATGGGCAGCACAACTTGGACTTATGGGTTAAAAAACAAAAATGACACAAGTTGTGTGGGGGGGGGGTAGGTGTTGGAGTTGCAGGAGTTGGGGAAGGGGAAAAAAATCAAAATACACTGAAATTTTCAAAAACTAATAAACTGAGGGTATATGTATACTACCATGTCCAGCTCCAGTGAAGCAGATTTTTTCTTTCTTTCTCTTTTTTTTTTTTTTTTTTTTGGTTGAGACAGGGTTTCTCTGTGTAGCCCTGGCTCTACTCCAACTCGCTGTATACCAGACTGGCCTTAAAATCAGAGATCCACCTGCCTCCACCCCAAGTGCTCAGATAAAAAGTGTGTGCCACCCCCACCCAGCTGAGAAACAGATTTTAAAAACAATTTTGCATATAGCTAAGACTGAAAACAAAATAGTCACCCACACAAAACTGTTACCTAATGACTATGATTTTTTTGTCAAAACTACATCATACTGATTAAAACCTTACCATTTAATTACTCACAACTTTCACTTAATAAATAATGCTGACTTTAGTTTTAAAAACCCTGGAGCCAAGTGTGATGTCACATCCTTTTAATTCTAGTACCTGGCAAGCAGAGACAGGCAGATTTCTTTGAGTTTGGGCTAGTCTGGTTGTACAAAGTGTGTTTCATGTCAACCAAGGATACATAGAGAAACCCTGTCTCAAAAAACCTAAGGTGGATTATGTAGCATGAAATAATAGTAAAATAAAATGAAAGTGGATTAACAAGAACAAAAGGAACAGAAATGAAGACTCAACAATTTGCACATTTTTTGAAGCCTGATCAGCATCATCTGGCAGTGATCTACAATTATCCTAAAAGGAAGAAAAAGTAAATAAATGAGGGAGTCCTGTGACCATGGCATGTCTCTTCCACGCAGGAAAATGTTCTAATGCAAATGGAAGAGTGACTCAGTAAGGTTCTATATAGAAGGCTGACGAACTGTCTGAGAGTGAGTATTTGAGAGGACTATTCAGATCTGGGAATTTACTGTCAATTAATCATGTAAGTTCACTAAAATGGGCTTCAGGACTGAACAGGAAGGAATATACCACCTCCTACCCCCCACCCCGCCAGGTAACTGTAAATCAGGAGCAAATCTATCATTAAAGTTGAAGTGTAACCTTATTGGCTACAGAAAGAAAAATGCAAAGAAACAGAAAAGAATTCAAATTATTTACTTCCAAAAACAAAAGGAAACCATTAAGTTCTTGGATTCACAATGAGAAATTTCATAACTTTGGAATACTTATAGTAGACATTTTATGTATTTATTCAACATGTACGACACACACACACACACACACACGCACACACACACACACACTCTCCTTAACTGTTGGCCTTGTTGGAAGAGGTGTCACTGGGGTGGGCTTTAAGGATTCAAAGCACCTTTCACTGGAAGTCTCTTATCTACCTCCTACCTGAGGGTCAAAATGTGAGCTTTGTTGTTGCTATGTTCCAGTATCAGGGACCCGCCCTTGGGAATGGTAAACTGAAATTCAATGCTTACTTTTATAGGTTGCCATGGTCATTCATGGTATCTTATCACAGTAACAGAAAAGTAACCAAGACAATTGTTATGAAATGAATTGACTGAACAGGCCATTTGTAAAACTAAAAATTACTCCTTGAAGAGCTTGTGTCTCCCACATCTGTTCTTACCAGTGAGGTTGGGCTAGGGAAAATTGCTTTGATAGGTGAGCTGCTGGTCCCACCACTGCTTGGTGGGTTGATTCTTTTCTCTTTCTGGCGGCGGTTACAAAACCAAACACGAATCACCTCTTTTTCCATATTGAGCTGTTCAGCAATCAATGTGATATCTTCCGAGGTAGGCTTTTGATTCTAAGAGAAGAAAAAAGCCCAACTTTTAGAATTTCAGTTTATATATTTGCAGAGATATTCCTGCTTCTGCCTCCCCAGTGATGTATTAAAAGCACACACTTGCTCTTTTTTAAAGGTTTATTACATGTCTGAGTGTTTTGCCTACATTCTTGTATAGTGACCTCAGAGGCCAGAGACAGTGCTGAATCTCTGAGACCTGGAATGACAGATCGTTGTGAGCTGCCATGTGGATATTAGGAATCAAACTTGGATTTTATGTACACCAGGCTAACCTAAGGTGATGGGATTAAAATGCTTCATGCCTGCTTAGATATACACTTTTGAGTCCTGCAGTATTCAAGTATCAGTATTATAGTATCTTACTTCCTCCCAGTTAAAATGCCCATCAGGTTGGAAGAAGACAAGGTTATGTTCTATTATCTATTTACAGTCCCTAACAGTAGTACTGATGACAACCAGATGCACACAAAAAGTAAACCTCACTGACCTCCATGAAACTCTTCTCTAAGGCCACACGGATGTTGGTCTCTATGCTGGTGCGTTTTTTCCTCCTACGATTCAAGCCCTCAGCCCCCAACCCTGGAGAATTCAGGGCACTTGGGCTAGATGCTGTAGAATCAGATGAGAGGTTCTCTACAAGAGTGAAGAAAATAGGGAAAAAAGCTGAGCTTAAGGATTTACATACAGAATACATATGAACACTAAAACTGGCAAAATATTTAAAGCTTGATGTGTGAGATTTTTAACGTAATCTACACAGATGCATTGTTCACTACCATCCATTTTCTACTGTCCTTATTTGCATTCTTTATCCCAGGATCATCCTTTGTCATCATTCATTTTTGGTTTGTTTCTGAGAATAAAGGTTTATTTTCCACTTATACTTCTCTTAGTTCTGTTCTTTTGCTTGTTTATAAGTTCCAAGGACAAAAAGGAAGAAATTTTCTTGGCAATCACTGGATATTTACTGTTTAATTTAAAGATTATTTCTCAGTTTCTTAGCATAATAAATAGTAGGGAGAGGGTACTTCTAATTTCTTTAAGGACAGGAGAGTATCCTTTCTTAACAGCTGAACAAGCCTGGGCACGTTACAGTGGATTTCTTTCTACTCATGTAAATTGAGATGGGGCAGATCAGTAGTTCTTGCCTGTGACTGCAAAAAAGGACAATAGATAGCTAACTTCACCATCAGCTACTGAGTCAATATGCTAGAGGTGTGGGTGTGTCAAGGTTTTTTCCCCCAAAGGCCTAATTTTTGTTTCTATCCACAATGGAAACAACATGGTTAGGTGCCTTTGGTTCCTTTTAGTTTCTGAAGTCTTTGATTTTGGGATTCAAAATTCAAAATTTCCAAAAGGATATCTCAAAATAAAATAAATAATTCAAGACCTAACTTTTTCTATGAAATAGGTGGCCATTTTTAACAAAAGTAGAAATATTAACAGGAACAAATTTCTAAGGCAGTCTATCAAGGAAGGAATAATCTGTCTGCTCTTCAAGATTATACACACAGGCCTTCTTATGCTCATGCTCAAACACTATATGTCCATCCCTAACCCTGGCTCAAATACAGAAACATTCTAAGGCTACAATTATTGCTGGTCATTTATACTATAATTACTGGAATATTAAGATGAAATATCTCTCTGATTTACATAATCATAATTTACAGGATTAGAGGCTCCAATATTCTGTTTTATCAGCAATATAGCAAGACCTCAGTTCTCAGAATAAGCCCTCCTGTAAAATCCCATGAACAATGAAGAAATTTCTTGGTATAGTCACTTACCTGCATCATTTAGCCACTTTTCTAAAAGTGGCTTTAACTTGCACATGTTCTTAAAGCTGAGGTTCAAGGCTTCAAAGCGAGAAATGGTGGTTTGGCTGAAGTCATTTCCATATAATTTCCCCATAGCGAGCCCAACATCACCCTGAACAACACAGAACAGAAAAGGGGAAGAGGAAAAGATTCATGTCATTAATGTTTCCAACTTCTACATTGAGAGGCTACCCCATTAACTGGGGCTCTAGGAAATAACTGGCCATCTTCTATTTACTCCATTTTCCCACCAACTTTACTCCCAAAGTAGAGCCTAGGACTGTAGGGAGAGCTCAGCAGGGCATCAATCATAGAAATCTTTATGTGCTTTCTATCTTGAGTCTCTTCTTGTTACCTTATACAATTATAATCACCATACCAAAACTTTTAAGTCTTCAAAATTCTGATATACTAATATCCTCCATTAATTCAACCAAAATTATCTGAGTACCCTTTAAAATCTACCTGCATCACTTATAGTCATTAGATGTTTAGAGAGCCTTGCAAGTCATTCTTATTCTTGCATTTTTATTTATTTATAATGTATATGTGGGCCCAAGAGTGCCATGGTACCCACGTGGAGATCAGGACAACTTGAGGGAGTTGGCTCTCTCCTTCTACCATGTAGGCCCTGGAGATTGAGCCCAGATCACAGGCTTAGTGGCAAGTGGCCCTAAACCAGGAATTTCCAAATGAACCAAATTTCACACAAATCACTTTAAAAATTAGAAATGACCTGTCATTCTTTATAGTTTTTCTCATAAGTATTTCTAGAGGCTATAAAAAAAATCTATTTTCACCCTTAGTTTAGATTTCAAAGTTGGTGACACAAAACCAGATACTTTAAAAGATCACATTTGTAGCCATTATAGAGATAGAAATTCACAGTAGAGAGGTTTGACCCATTTAGTCAAACCTTCATGGGCACTGGAAACTTGGTAACCTTATTGAAACAGAACAATGATCCTCTGAATATGCCTTTCTCCACGAGCCTATCACCTTTGAAATGTACACAGTGCTTTTCTTCCAGCTGGATCTCTCTTGTTCTAGTATGAAGATGATGTATCTATCATAATAGTTATTTTTATAGATAATAGGAGGAGCTCATGGAGTTTAAGTGGCTCACATGCCCATTTGAAATAGATTAGTGTCAGGGCAGAAAAGTACAGCATTTCTCACTCAAAATATACAAAGCTAACTCTGCTGTGAGAGAAGCAACTCTCAACAAATCTGGCAACATTATTTTTAATTAATCACTTTTAATTTTTATTTACTTTATGTGTATGAATATTTTACCTATATATACTTGTATATATAACATGTGTGCAGTGCCCACAGAGGATCACTGTGAGCTAACATAAAGAAGCTGGGAACTGAATCAGCTCCTCTGCAAGACCAGCAACTGTTCTAAACTAATGAGCAATCTCTCCAGACCCAATCTGTTGAGATCAGGAATGGATTTGAACTTGTGATCCTCCCATCCCAGTTTCTCAAGTGCCAGGATTCTAAGCTTGTGTTATTATGCCCTGCTTTAGGAACATGATTAAGTTGGGATTACCTGAGTTCTTTTAATGCCTCAGATGAACATTTTAGAGATTAGATTCTCTATTATATGTGGAGTCAAGGAAAAGGTGTATTTAAAAGCATATAAGTGTGGTTTTGTTCATTTTATTAGTATTATTATTTAAATAGAAGCTTCATGTAGCCTATCTAGAAATACAAAATGTACAGTCTGAGGAGAAAAAAAGCACCAGGAAATTTAATGTTGGAGCCAAGACCCTACCTAGTTAATTCTGTAACTTGTGAAAACAAAGAGCTTAAGGAATTAATCTGTTCCTAAAGAGTAACAACAAATCAAAGCTTATGCAAATGTAATTCCACATCCTAGCCCAAGCAGTCAGAAGAACTTGGTAGCACTGGCCATGTGGTTCTTGCTTTAGAGTAAAAAAAAAAAAAAAAAAAAAAAGATGCAGGAATAAAAGGGTTGTGGAATCAACCTTCAAGATAAAGGAAAACAACTGAGGTCAGGCATGTGACAGGGGAGTCCCTGAATGGGAACCATAAGAAGCTACTGCATGAAGCTATGAAAATGAAGCCTGAACTATGTTGGAGACCCCAAGATATTGGAGATGCCAGAGTCCTGGGATATCTACCAGTAGAGCTGCACACAGAGTAGGTGCAGATGCCTCTGTGTATGGGTGCACCATGTGGGTTCTGGGACCAAGCTCAGAACATCAGGCTTGTTGGCAAGCACACGCCTCTTAATTTGTTTCCTTATATCTGAAATACCACAAAACCATAACTGCATATCATGTAAAACTGTATCTGTTTTAAATTCCCAATATGTCATTTCTTTGAGCAAAAATAAATCTTCAAACACAAGGAATAAAAAAATCTAATTCCCTAGCTAGACCAAGAATACAGCAGATAATGGTGTCACTTTGATTTTGATCTACTAGTGCACTGCATACTTTCTACACACCCTCATTTGGAAAGCATGCGAATGGAAGCTTTCTGGAAAGAAAACATCAGAGTTCTTCCTGATTCTATAAATACACAACTCAATCTATACTTAAGTTTTTCTTCTTTCAGCTAATGATCTCTGACCAATTTACATAAATGTACGTTTAATTCCTTTACTGGTTTCAAAGCATTGTTTTTGACAGGCTAGAAAAATGCTGTGTACCCAAAGCTTGCTTAAACTATTAAGCACACTTATTTCACTTTTCAAGCCCTCTGCTAGTTGACATTACAAGATTTGGATTTTGATTAATTTACTTAAAAAAAAACTTCAATACATTCTTACTTAATTAATCTCACTGTAGGCTGAGAGAAAGGAGGGGGAGCACTGTATTCCCAAACTAGCGTTAAGTAAGTCTTCCAAAAGTCTTGAATCCTTATTCTTCCCACCTTACATATGTAGAAGTGTAAGCTTTATCACCACGTGCTCTTTAAAACGAAACTGTTAGCACAGTCAGCTTACTAAACACACATTTTACTGATACAATTTCAGGGGCCACTGTTGTGAAACACTTGGAAATTTTTAGTAATAGTCACATCACAAATAAATGTATGAACCTAACAACCAAACACACAAAATTCTAAAATTGTAAATGCTAAACCAAAAATCAGTATGACGGAGAAACATCTTATTCCTTAGAAAGTATTCACAGCTAGCCACGAAAGGATATGTAAGAGAGCTCTGTAATGGCTAAACTTTGTTGTCAAACTTGACAGATCTGCAAAGATGGAATTTTAATTGAAGAGTTACCTCTATCAGATTGGCCTGTGAGTATAACAATAGAGCATTTCTAGATTGCTAATTGATATAAGAGGGCCCAGGACACTGTGGGCAGTGCCATTACTGGACTGGTAGGTCTGGGCAGTTAAGAAGGACAAAGGAACAAGCCAACAGTGTTCCTCTATGTATGCTTTTGCTCAGTGTCTACCGCCAGGTTCCTCCTCTAACTTCCCTCACTGATAGACTAGACATGGAAGCTGGATAAAGCCTTTTTCTCCACAAGTTGGTTTTGGTTAGTGTTTTATCACAGCAATAGAGAATGAACTAGAACAGGTGAGGTCATCCTACCTGAGTGAATCCAAGTTTGATTCGTCTTTGTTTGAAGGTCTTGGCAAATTGCTCAAGCTCCTCAAGGTCACTGGGCTCCTCCAAGCTGGGAGTATCAATTCGCTTTGGTGTTGTCTGGCTCTGTGGAAGTGTCTGAATTGGGGTTGCTGCTATTGTGCGAGTTGGGGTGGCTGGCTGTTGGAGAACAAACAGAATAATGAAGATACTTAAGGTTATAATTGTGATGTGTAGGCAACTTAAGAAACAGACTCACATAAACTCAAACCAGACAAAACCCTAGCATAGAGGAGAGAGGGCAGGATAAAGGCCTGCCTTTACTTGAGGAGTTATTGGCATTTGCTGCTGGGAGTGAGAAAGCCAGTTTTTCTCAACGAAGTGACACCTGGTGTAATAGCAGCATTCCAGGGCAGCCCCATGGGAATTTTTAAAATTAAAAAAATAGCAAGAAAGAGAAAGAACATGAAATTGGGTGGGTATGAGAATACAAACTTGGTGTGTATAAGAACATGAATTTGGGTGAGTTTGGAGGTGAGGCAGGAGAGGATGCAGAATACGATAAAAATGCATTGGATGAAATCCATAAAAAAAGACTATTTTAAGAAAACTGAGGACAAAAAGAAGTATCTCCACCTCCACCTCTTTTTTTTTTTTTTTTACACTCTGTAGCCCAGATTGGTCTGGAATTCACTATGTAATCCCATTGCCTCAACTTCCACTGTACTTTGATTAAGCAGGTACCACCACCAGCAGCAAAAGGTTCTGTAAGATGAATTTATGCAGGATTTTTCTGGCAACTGGATAAACAACGTCATGCTTCTGACATTCTGTGCCCCACCACATGATGCAGTTTCTAACACAAGGCTTGTGTTCTCAGTTTAAAATATTATTTTCTTCACCAGGAAGTAAATGGTATATCACCTTTGACACAATACTTCTCTTACTGCTCAAAGCAAGACACTTCCATGTTTCAATTATTACCTGTATTTCCTTTATTCTCACTCTTAGTTTAGGCCAGTTATTTCTTCAAATATTATGGCATATATACTCTCTTCTTATCATATTAGTATGAATAATTCCTTAATTCAGCTTTTAAATTTTTTTCAGTGTGCACAAACTTTAAACTTTTTGTGAGTTTTCTCCATTGCTACTATCTTGCTTTGAGAAAGAAAACTGTAGTTCTCAGTGATGTAATCCTTATGGTAGAAAGAGAAAACTTCTTCCCAATAATATAATACCTTTATTTCTATAGAGTTTATTTGGGGACATAAGGGCACAGTCCTATCACCCCACCACCCTACCTCTTGTGTTGAAGACTTAGTCCAGGATGTTTGTTTCTTTATTTTTTTTAAAAATTTTTTATTTTATGTTTGTGCCTCAATCCATGTCTGTGCACCATATGCATCAGTGCCTGCAGAGGCCAGAAAAGGATTTTGGATCCTCAGGAACTGAAGGGAAAGGACAGGTGTATTAGAAACCACACCCATGTCCTCTGGAGAGCGGCTAGAGTGCTACTACAGAGCCATCTAGCTCTCCAGCCCACTTTTTCATTCCTTTTTAAAGGAAATACTAATTTTTCTTATCATTCAAACACCAGTCTATTCTGTTCTACTCACAAGCACCACGTAGAGCCTTCCTTGTGAGTGTTCACTAAATAGAAGTGCTCCTGATTTTGCATCCTAATTGCTCAGCTGAACCCTCCTATAAGCAGGAATGCAGGTGAGATTATAAACCAAGATTTTCTTCTTGGATTTAAGCAGGCCTTATATTACCTGACCTTGACCTCATTACTAAGGTTTTCTCCAAGGGAACTAACTGACCCAGAAAACTGCATAAGAGGCATGACATAATAATTGGGGCAAATCACTCTGCTATCCTGCTTCAGTAAAGACAATAAAGCATGTCTCCATTACATGCTGACAGTGAGCAATTTTAACCTCACCTTTTGGAAAAGCTACACACGGCACCAACTAAGAATCTCATGTTGCTGACTACTTACCACAATGAATATGGTGGATAGGTGGAGGTGAATCTCAGCTATTAGAATGTTCCTTCATCTTCAGAATCACATAGCCTCTTTTGTCAAATAATAATGAACTAAAAGTAGCTTGGGTACCATTGAACAGCTGGTATCTTACTCTAAAATCCCTGGCTGAACTGGGCCAGATCTAGAATGGTGGTATAGCATTTAATGAGCAAAATCAGAATGAAGTTTGCTACATGTACATAGCATGTAGGCCAGAAAGAGGTCTCCGATATATATGTTTTGCATTTGGGATATTAAAAAACTTACCATTTGAAACTGCAGCATTATTAGATGCTTTTGCAGCTGAATAGTTATATAGCTACCATACAATATATAGATTATCTTTACCATCCTCCCCAAATTTCTTCTGAGCCCTTTGGCATCAACCTTCATTTTCATTCCTTACTTCCTGATAAGCACTGATAGGATTTCTATACCTATAGTTCTGTCCTTTCTAAAATGTTATGTAAACTGAAATCATATAGTACTCAGATTAAGCCCAGCTTCTGTCACTTAGTATAAAGCTTTTGAAATTCATGCATCTCACTGTAGTTATCAGAAGTACATTTCTTCTTATTGCTGAATAGAAATCTATCACATGGCTATTCAGATGTTTATGTAACTTACTATATGATGATTAGTTTGGGGCAATTAAAATTAATGTATTATAAGCATTCACAAACATATCTTTGTGCTTTCATTTTAAAAAGTAAAACTACTGGAAGTACTGAGAAAAATACAGAATCTAAGCTCCTTCACCATTTTAGCCAGGGCAAGGGACCAATGACACGTTTTGATTGAATTCCTAGGTCTTCCATTTCAGTGTTCCTATCTATCAACATCAGACAGCTATAATTCATCCCCATTTACTAACTATTAATATATCTATTTTTTATGAGCTTAAAAAAAGACCAACTTGGCAGCACTGGTTTATCAAGCTAATAAGTCCAGAACTGAGTTTTTGGTAAGCTTCTGGACACCTGAGATTGTTCTTACTGGGGATGTTTTTGTTTCACTTTTAAATTAGTAAAACAATGGAGTAAGAAAACAGACCTGGGAGGTGAGGGTGATGCTTGGCTGTGGTTGTAGGAGGTTGGCTTGGCTTTGCTGAGGTAGTTGTGTTAAAAGATTTTGCGCTTGCAGGAGACCTGTGAAAAGTAAATATTTCAGGGGGATTAAAAAAAAAGAATATAAATTCAAAGTTTCCAACTGGATTCTTGGTAGTTTTGTTGATCTTCAGATTAATATCTAATTTCTTTGCCTAAAATTAATCATGTAAACATAAGATGGCATTATAAGTAACATTAAACCAAACTTTTTGTCTTTAGTGTAATCTGAATAAATTATTTCCAAGAAGAGGAAAAATATGAGGAACTATTCTAAATGAAAGCATCTGTAAATTTAAAGATAAGTTCAACTTCTTATCCCAAAATTCACACTGTGGTTCTCAACCTTCCTAACACATCAACTCTTTAACAGGGTTCCTCATGTTGTGGTGACCCCCAACCATAAAATTATTTTCATTGTTACTTCATTACTGTAATTTTGCATTATGAGTCATAATGCAAATATCTGGTATGCAGGATATCTGACACAGGACCCCTGTAAAATAGTCCTTTGACCCCCCCAAATGGGGTGTTGACCCTCAGGTAGAGAAATGCTGCTCAAGAGGAATCTTGGAACACGGACTGGGTTTCTGAAAGAAGTAGGCAATCCTGTAAGTGGGAGGAGATGCTGTTTTCAAGTTCTTAGCACATGCCCCTTCAGTGACAAGGTGACATGTAAACAACCATCTCTAAACTGCACTAAACAATCTCAGTTTGGAAGTTATTGATAAGTGAAATGTTTCCGTATCCTGGTAGTGATTTCCCTGTCAATGCAATAAAACAGATCAGACAGATTAGTAAGTGCAGGTTTAATCAGAGCAAAACATTTGTGGGTGGTCCCAGGAAAGTCTGTGGGTCAGACCTTTAAATACACTCCTGGGGTGGAGCTGTTGCATGGCAGACTTTCTTTGGGCAGGGTCTGCAGAGGACAGCTCCAGGGGAGATTCCCCAACAATAAGTAAAATGGGTGTAAAGATGCATGCCCATAGTCCCAGCTACTCTGGAGGCTGGGGCAAGAGAGTCACTTGAGCCTCAAAGTTAGAGGTCAGGCTAAACAACATAATTCGAGTTTGTTTTAAACCCCTGGAAGTATTGTAGTACATACTCAGTTGATTATTTAAGTCTATAGGGTTTTGTTACAAATACAGGGGCAACCCAGAATAAATCTGCATCGAAGAACTTAATCTAAGTACTTAGTTTCAAATATAATCATGTTGAAATACTAAATATAAGGTTGTGAGACTAGATAGCAGAAGTGGAAATGAGAGACAGTAAGCTATGGTGGGTTAACAATATATCTTTCAGATTTTCTTAGCTACTAAACTTGGATACAGTGGAATACATAATACAATAAAAAATTACACCTATTAGATTTTATCATTTGTTTGTAAGTAAACTTTGCCTAAATCTAAGAAATTAACATAGGTGTTTGACAATGTAGGTCCCCAATACAACAAATATACTAAATAGAATTGGATTTTCCACAGAACCCTTCCTTTTGTTTGTATTAGGAAGTAACTATGCTAAAACTAAGTAAATTGAATATACATGGTTAAAAGCTTAAAAGTAGGCAGGGCGGTGGTGGTGCACACCTTTAATCCCAGCATTCGGGATGCAGAAGCAAGCGAATCTCTGAGTTTGAGGCCAGCCTGGTCTACAGAGTGAGTTCCAGGACTGGCTCCAAAGCAATACAGAGAAACCCTGTCTGGAAAAACCAAAAGCTTAACAGTCAGATTCGGGAAAAATTACTCATGCTTAAATGACTATGGTACAATCTTAAATTTTTTTTAGATTTCTTTAATTATTTTATGTGTATGAGCGTCTTGCCTGCATGTATATATGTGCAAAAGCACTAGCTCCCCTGGGGCTTGAGTTATAGATGGTTGTGAGTTGCCATGTGAATGTTGGCAGCTAAACCTAGCACCTCACAAGAGTAGCAAGAGTTAACGCTGTTAACCACTGAGCCCACACTCCAGCCCCTCCACAGCTCAAGCTTATAAGTATTTAAGGCGACCTCTTTGATTACATAACAACAGTGAGTCAGGCTTGATGGTACATGCTTGCAGTCTCAGCATACAGGAAGCTAATGTAAAGGTGCAAGGTCCAGCTGTGCTCCATAGGCAGACCTTGCTACCAAACCAAACCAACACAACATTCTAGTAGCCTTCCGTTACACCTAAAATAGAGTATCTGTTTAGTACCTGGGAATCTCGTCCTGAATTGCTTGCTTTTACTTCCTTATATGTATGTGTACATAATCTTCCTCACTGTCCACTTTATTCACTGAAGTAGGATCTCTCAACTGAACCCCAAATTCTGATAGGCTAGTCTAGCTAAAGAGCTTGTTCTGGAGACCCCAAGCACTGGAATTACAGGTGGAGCTAACACCCTCAGCATAGTAACACTTACTAGTGAGCTGCCTCCCCAACCACTGCCTAGGCTCTTATACTTCATTTCTTACCACCTTCTCTTATCCACTCATCTCTAGCTACACTGGTTTTCCTTTTCTTGGCTTAGGGAAGGCTCATTCCCCTTTCAGGTTCCATGTACTCTTCATCGCTTATAAGGCCAGTCATCCAAATCCCCAACTAGTTGCAGAGGTGTCTACCGCACTCCTCAGTTCTCGGTTCAGGCATCACTCTCCAGGCAAGTTTCTTCATACCATACATCCCCCATCTTCCAAGTGTTTACTTTTACCAAGTGAGTCACATCTCCCATCTTGCTAGGATATACTGTCATCCAAGTTATTTGTTTATGTTTACTTCTGTCTGAGTCCTAATAAGAACAGAGGATTTCACCCTGCTGAAAATTTTAACTCCAATAATAAGAACGATATATGACACTTAGCAGGTACCCAACAAACTGGTGAGCAAATTAACTATAACTGTATATTTTATGGGTTGAACACAGTCAAAATACTGTCTAGTGAGAAAAAATTACATTTGATGTCAATAATCAGAATTAATCAATTAAAATTACTTAGAAAATAAAAATTATAAAACAATGAAAAATGAAACAGATATCTATCTGTACAGATAGACTCAGAAATTAACATGAGTTTCTTTAAAGTTTAGCAGGAAAGTTGGATTTTTGCTTCTCTTTGATAATAACAGCACTTAAATAGCCATATTTAATCAAATTGCAATACTGAATGGTTAATTTTGGTTCATAGTAGCATATTCTAAAGAAATTCAAACTTTAAGTTATCTTACCCTTCTCTCCTGGCTAGCTAAGGTCAGTTGAGATGCAGAAGGGGCCGAGAGGCCAAGCACTTTTGTGAGGGCCAAGACTTTGTAGTATCCCTACCCTGAATAGACTCCCCAAACACAAAGTTCAGGATTTTCTAACAAAAGTGTTTCTGTAGTTTCAAAATTAATGTTGACAGTAGAAAAGGCAGAAAACAAGTTGCCATGAAATATGACTCAGTAAGAATTTTTCCAAAAACAATCAACTCTGGGAGGATATTATTTCTCTTGTTAGTTTTTAAATAATTATATAACCAGTGATATTGTCAATATTATAAATTATACTTTCAAATTCTTAGATTAACAACATACCCTCCCTCAAAAAAAGCAGAAATGATTGCTCAATTGGAGGCTAATCTCATGCTAGAAATTTTGTTATTGTTAAAATCCAACAAATCAATCCTTGTCCTCTCTACACAAAACTAACCAGATTTTCAGTTACTATTAATCACAGTGACTCTACCAGAAATGAAGCCAATCTTATTAGATGAAATGGGGTCCTGTTCTATATTAAGATTACAACTCAACAGCAGTAGAACTCACTCACTCACTCACTCTCTCTCTCTCTCTCTCTCACTCTCTCTCTCTCTCTCTCTCTCTCTGTGTGTGTGTGTGTGTGTGTGTGTGTGTGCGCATGCACATGCTTTAGGAGGCCAGAGGTTTAGGTCAGAAGTCTCTTCTGTGGGGACACCAGACCTTGAGCAGAAACCCACTTCCCCTTCGGCCTGGGAGCAGGCATCTATGTAATGTTTACTGAAAACAATTCAGTGCTTTAGGGCTCAGATAGGGCTTGCTCACTGAAATACCATGCCTTTCACACCCCCTACGGCTAGATGCCTCTTCCTGTTTCCCTGTGGTGTCTCCCCGATTCTGGGGCTGGAGATTAGACCACCAGCCAGGAGGAAAGAATGGTATGTAGATGAATGGCAGAAGTCCTTAAAAAGGGAAGCTCCTTTTTCTGAGAGAGACTTCTCCTGAGACTTCTCCTGAGAGCTCTCCTAAGCGGACTGGGGTCTCCTCCTAAGCTGACTTGGGAAGCATAAAGTTTTCTTAAAGCAACCGACCGGTCTCTGTGTCATCTATCCCGACCACCTCGCTACATTCTCGGATGCAGGCCGCACAGCAGGTGCGACACTCTTCAATGCCTCTCTCCTTATATATAGAATCAGGGTCTCTCACTTGAAACTGACGTGACTAGATTATACAACTTGCTATTCCTATATGAGCTTCTGGAGCCCTTCAAGGCCATGATATGGGTGCTAGGGATCTGAATGACCATGGGTCCTCAAGCTTATGCAAGTGCTTTACCTACTGAGCCACTTCTTGAGTCCCAATTACTTTTAAGCTGGTTTTTATTGTATAAAGGAACAAACTTTGCATTATCTAAGTTTTATCTATGGACTGCTACTGATATTGATATGATGATGTCAATGGTAATAGTGGCAAAAATTAAGAGGCTATTACGAATAAGGCACATTTTCAGAAAATACTTTCATTTGTTTCCTAACTGAATCCCTACAAATTTTGAACAAAAATACTAAAATTATTCTCACACTTCAGGTAATGAAATGGAAGCTCAGGAAAATTATATTTCTTCACAGACAGCCAGCTTGGCTTTAGACTACAGTGTATGCTTTTTATTACATTACAATGCTCTTCTGACACTAATAAAGCATTTAATATGATTTATTCATACTTAAAGGGAAAGATGAAAGGGGTAAAGGGGAAGATGAGAAGGGAGTATGTCCAAGGCTATAGGCTCTAAAGCCAACCAGTATTTCTTTTCACTATATGCTATGTTCCCAATCCTATGAAAGGTTGGAAAGGAAGAAATTAAGAACATGTAAACACACACAAAAAAATTAGAATAGTCATTTCTTATTTTAACTGTCTTATATTATAAAGGCTCAGATATGAAAAAAGTAATATTCTTGGGCTTTGTAAAAAATTTACAGAAAAGTGATCTCATTCAGTCTTAAGGTCTGAACAACTGCAATCTAACACATACTCTTCAGGTGCAGCCTGTGAAAATCTGGTCTAAACAGACTATTTCTTCCTTCTCTCTTAGAATTCTCTTTCGTTGTAATGATCACTTTTTACTGGCTCTGACCCACATAACCTTCAGACTCTACATCCCCCCACTATTCCAACTGTTGCTTTTACTAAAGCTCTCCCATTACTGTCTTTATTTAACCTATCGACACTTAAAGGTTTTCTAAAAACTTAACCACCTAGATGCTTATTCCTTACAACTGACCAAATATAACTGGTCACCACGTCCTTTCTTGGTTTTTAGTTTATTTTGAGGTAGGGTCTTACTATGTAAACCAAGCTGGTCTTAAGTTCAGAGATCCTCCTGCCTCTGACGATTCCCAAGTGCTAGGATCAAAGGCATGTGCCACCAGGCTTGGTCCAAGTCTTATTTTTCTACCTAATTATTTTCTCTTTTCTGCCCTCGAAATCATAACTCAGCTTGTATCAATCTCAATGGCATCTTGCAGAATTCTGAAGACCAATATTACTAACTGTATTCTTGCCTATCCTGGTTTCTCCAAGTTTAAGTGTAAATAAGTTTTCTTAATATAAATGGTTAATATCACTTTTCTGCTTTTAATTTTTTAATATCCTACAGAAAACTTTATTGGAAGATTATCAGACATTCAAATTCAACTCCACAAAGAACTACTTAAAAATTTGGGACTCAAAAACCTACCCTTCTCATTCATCCAATGAGAATAACAACTTTGGAAATGACTAAGCTGTATGATTTCTTGTTGTTAAACTCCTATAATTTCCTGTGAGATTATTTCTTTCATAAGAATAAGCTAGTCTTTACAGATCTTTCAGGTCTCAAATTTCATTCTTATTCATATATGTACCCTATATGCCCTATATAAGGCATTACTTATAGTTCTCATGAAACCAAAATTTAGGAAAAGCATTGCCCACAAGGATACTGTTAGGGAAAAAATGTTAGTTAAGATGTCTGGAACACTAAGCTTTAGACAGATGCTTACCCTGCTGGCCCTGGGGGGTCTGTGAGATGATAAACTGTGCTGGCTGCAAGTTGGTGGTTGGATGAACCAACACAAACTGTTGCAAGTTGAGATTTTGCTGTTGAAGCTGTTGCAATTGTTGAAGATCCTAAAAGCTCAGAAGCAAAACACAGATTAGAGAGATCCAGAAATGAAAGCTGGCTTAGCTGTAAGGTTTCTAGATGATAATTTCTGTCATATCAAGTAACAATGAGATAATACTTAGTATAGTCTGGCTTCAGGGACTTTGTCAGTATGTGAGAAATCCTCAGGCCAGAGAGAAGTTCAGTTAGTAGAAGAGCTTGCTAGAGCCCATGTGGAAAAAGAGAACTGACTCCTGAGAATTGTCCTGACTCACACACACACAAAACACAGCAAATATCAAAACCAAAAAACTTAGGGCCTCTGCAAGAAGTTGTATTTTTGAGGGCATGGTGTATATAGCATCATGACTTATGCCAAGCCAATTATCAATAGTTAGTTAAAATCTCCCAGAGTAAATAAATATAGAATGTCTCCAGTTCTAGGGTAGGCTGTTTTCAGTTTTAAAAGTCTATTATTGTTGTTTGTGTGTGTGTATGGGGGTGCACATGGCGCACACACATGAGGAAGTCAGAAGACAACTCTGGAGTTAACTCTCGACTTCCACCTGATATTATTTTGAAGGCTAATTTCGGGGGGGTCAACCTGAGTACCTCTGAAATTAACTAAAATGCAAGCAGTTGGGCACACCTGTGAGGGATTTTCTTGATTCGAACATCTGAGGTGGAAAGATCTGGGCCACACTTTCTGGTGGTAGTTCATATAAAAGAGCATGAAAGAAGGAAGGATTTGCTTCTCCTCTGTCTGCTCTCACTCTCTCTGATTAAGTTCATATATCCTGTTGTTGAAGCATTCCTCTGCTGGCATTAGAATCTACTTCTTTAGGAGTCCAAGGTAGACTAAAGACCACCTGAGACATCCAGCTGCATGGACCGAACAACTACTGTATTCTTGGCCTTTCCTTTGACAGACAGCCAGACCACAGCCTATAAGCTACTCTAATCCTTTCTATATGTATTCATTCTATAAGTTCTGTTCCTTTAGATCTGGACTACAGAAAGACCCAACATGAACTTTAAAAAGGCTTTTAAATATTTGACCCAATTTTTCTCTAAAGTAAAAATTGAGTGTTAGATCCAAATTTCCATCAATAAATGAAAAAAAATCTAATGCCTGAAATTTGATACTAGCTTATCTAACTCAATTGAGAAATCAGTGTTTGGTATAAATGGTCTTATTTATCTCAATTTCAGATATGGTCTCAGATGTCACTTACTAAAATAATTTATTTGATGAAGAAAATAGCTCAAATAAAAACACTATTTTTTTTTTAAAAGAGCAAGGAGCATCTTTATTTATTCACTCTTTTTTGTTTTTTGTTTTTTTGTTTTCAAGACAGGGTTTCTCTGTGGCTTTGGAGACTGTCCTGGAACTCGCTCTGTAGACCAAGCTGATCTTGAACTCACAGGGATCCGCCTGCCTCTGCCTCCCGAGTGCTGGGATTAAAGGCGTGCGCTACCAACGCCCAGCTAAAAACACTATCTTGATACAGACTGTCCATACAGTATGAAGATGAGTCTGATTCCATTTCAAGTATCTAGTCAAACTTTTGTTACAGCTTAACTGCACTTCCCTTCTCTTGTGGGGACATAAAGACAACAGCTTAGTGCATAAAACTTCTTTATATATGTCATATATGACTTCTCACACACCCTTTCGTTTCCTTTATTATTTTTTAAGTAAATTTTTGTATCTTCTAAAATGAAAACTGAGATCCTGTAACATTTTACTACAGTTCTAAATTATCCTAATCACTCCAAGTAGAAAGAGGACTTGCTCTTTCTTATAGAGTGGCAACATTTACTGTAGAGCACATGAAAGAATTCTTCCCTGCTATAATTAGTTAATTAAGATAAATACAACTCCTTGCCTCAAAAATATGCCAGTTACTTACTCAAGTATTGTCACTTAACATAAACATTCGTTTATCCAAATAATCAGCTATGTATTTATAATATCAACTCAAACAAACAAGTGTATTATTTCTGACTCAGTGAAAAAGGATAATACCTCCTTGATCTAGAGTTCCTTGGGCTTTTGAAGACTCACAGTAACAACCAGAAGGCTAACAATACTCAGTAACATTTTTCCATTTTCTTACTTGCTCACTGCCCCTGCGACCTCGAGCCTCACTCACCTGTGCAATCTGAATAGGCTGAGACAGGGGAATCTGCGTCATGGGTGTGGCAGCGGAGGCTGAGATGGTGGCCCCAGCAGCACTGTGCTGTTGGCTGGCGGAGTGCTGCTGCACTGCAGCAGCCAGGAGTTGGGCCTGGGCCTGGGCCTGCTGTAGTAATAACTGCTGCTGGGCTGGTGTCAAAGTGAGCTAAAATAAGAATAAACAAGGGAAGATTGATGAAATGGGGCCTGTAAGGCAAGCAAACTGCTTTGAAATAGGTAACTCAAGTGGTATTATACCCTCACTATTCATTTTTACACTACTAACATGCAGCTAATGACAAACTACCAGTATTAGCAGAGAATTTAAATTGAAGCAGTTGTCCCCACTTCAGACTTGAAAAATCATTTAGGCAAGAAAGGTAATTAACTAGTACACAAGAAAACAAAGACTCAATACTGACAGGCTATGCAATGAAATTTATACCTAACAGCAACTGATTAGTCAGATGAATGAGGGACAAAAGGTTGCTGTATATAACCGGGAAGAGAACTGATAAGGCCCAGCTGCTTCCCATTAGCTAGAATCCCCCACCATATTTCATTATGTCTTAATACGGGACTAAAGAACATGAGCTGCATGACTTTGCTTCCAAATCTCTCTACAGGACCTTCCTTCACCCAATCTTGGACAGCATGGGATTGCAACTTTACATACTCTTTCCAATTTATTAACTCTAGAAAACAGGTGGTAAGAGCCACTCTTTTAAATGCAAATGAATCTAAATGTCCAGACATAATAAAATCTTCAAGGTACACAAACCTGGAATCCTAAGCGCCTGATACTATCTTAAGACACTAGTCACAAAAATCTGAACCCTGGCAATGAAGCAAGAGTCTTTTGAGAGCAAACCTAAACTTTAATAGTATAGCATTTCAAAAATGCTTACATAAAAGTAGTAAACATGCTGGGCCTTTCTTTGGTGACACATTCTGATGAAACAAGTAAGCTAATACCTATATCTCAATGAACAGCATTCAGCAGCATAGCTTGTCTCCTAAACTAACAGGACCTAATTTATCCAATTAATTTGTATATTAGAAACACAAGAACCAAAGCAAAACTATTAAAAAATGTAAGTCTTCGAAATGTGTGTATATGTATATTTTATATAATATAGGCCCATGTTAATCTCTAGTGATGGAGTATTATAAATAAATGTGCAAGAGTTCTTAGAAGAACCTCCCATTGTTCATACTAGCTAAGATTAAATTATAAAAATTTCTAAAGGTTGATATGATGTGAATTTATTAGCTTCTTATCATTCCTGACTCACTGTCTTCACAAAAGATAACACATAAGCTTTCAACATTGAAAAATTATTCCAAATAATAGCTTAGGAGAGAAACTGCTAAATACTTAAAAGCTTAACAGTCACGGAAGACAATTTGTTAACAATAAAAATAAGCAACATTTACTGAAGGCTACATGCCAACCACTGTTTTAAGAGCTTTATATAAATTGCAAATGGTACTTAAAATAGATATTATTAATACTTCCACTTAGAAGATGGAAATCTGAGAAGACAGGGAGATAAACAAATTAGTCCTTTAGTAATTACTAAATATACAGCCAGGATATAAGATCACATAATTTATTTTAGGATATTACAAAGTCAATTCAAGAAAATGTTTTTCTTTTAAGGTATTAGTCCATTCTTTAACTATCCTGCAATAACACATCTCCAACTTTACCATGCATATGGCAACTCCTCCCTTACACAATGAAGCAACACCATTTTTTAATGGGGTTTAAAAAGTTTGAAGTTTATTCTCAACATCTGCAGTTGTAGCCAAGAAAGAAAAAAAAAAGTAATGACAAAGGTAATTCCTCCAGAGCTTCTGTATCCAGGAAGGTCCTTAGATATCCTAATAGTGCCATGCTAGTACCAGCTGCAGTAAACAGTTTCAATAACATGTCAACCAGTAGCAGTTCAGACACAGAGGAAGTTTATTATAATTTTCTCAATGGAAACTTACCCCAGTTATCTGTCCCCCAGCCAGCATTAGCTGGGTCTGGGGAATGGCTGACTGCATTGAAGGCTGCTGGGAAGGCTGGCTTGGTTGCTGCTCCCCCGATTCTTCACTAGATTTAGACTGAAGTGGGATTGGATAGGAAATGAAATATCTCAAATAATTGACAAAATGAAATGTACTTCTAATTCTAAAACTTCAAGAATCATTTAAAATATGTGCTATTCAATTCTGAATTTGGGAGGTTTTCTGTTTTTCTTTTCTTACATGCCTTTTCTTTCTACTTAAGTACTCTTACAACTTTTTTTATTCCAATCCCAGAAAAGTTGCAATCATCAATTTTTAAAAGAAAAACTAAATTGGTCCTCCACAAATCAACAAAACATTTCACAACTTCAAATCCCCAGTTCAGGCAATGGAAAGGAAAAGTGATTTTCAATTCACTTCTATTATTAGACCCTTCAAATTAACACTTAGACATATACTTGTGGCAAGTCTCAAACTTCTTACAATTCAATTTCTTGACTCACAGAACTTTTTATCTACTCTTTTAAAATACCTCTAAATGCAGTTATCTTCCACTAAGTAATGTACAAGCTTAAAGGAAAATGATATAGTCAAGAAGAATTTATAGAACATAAAGGGCCAGAGAGAGAAATTGTTATGGTAATTAAAACTGGTTATACAGAGTATTAAAATTCTGCATAGATTTGCATATTTTCCACCACCTGTTTGGGGGAACTGCAGCAAAGCTAATTAACATAAAAGCTCTGATTAATTCTGCCAGTCATTGAAAGATAATTATAGTGCAGGACAGTAAACATTCTGCACTGAAGATATAGCCTGTTTGCCAACATCTCTCTAAGGGATGTTAAGTTTACCATGGCAACCAAAGCAATTTTCTACCTCCTCTCCCTCAGAAAGGAGGGTCACATTATCTCCTTTTCTCTTCTTGTTTCCATGTGTTACTAGGTCCATATTCCACAAGGTTTCATAGAATGTTTACCCCAAAAATCTTATCTTTAGTCGTTAGCAGCACTGAAATCAATCTTTTAGAACACTGTTTTCTCCTCCTGTCTGCTAGTTTCCTAAACACCACAGTAAAAGGTCGATTTAAAAGTTATGGAGTTGTGTGTAAAATACTTAAGGCTTGAATCTTTTATCTGATGGCTTACCAAACCCCAAATTTAAGTTACATTTTATAATTTTGACTATCTGACTAACAATGTCTTGCTTTTCTTCTTTTTTTAAATAAAGATTTATGATTATTTTAAATGATGTGTATGTGTGTCAGAGCACATGTGTGTAGGTTCCCACAGAAGCAAGAAGAGGGTGTCAGATGTCCCTGAGTTGTAGTTACACATGGTTCTGAGCCTTCTGATGTGAGAACTAAACTGCAGTTCTCTGTAAGAGCAGTAATATGCTGCTCTTAACTACTCAATGGTTATTCTATATAGAGCAGAGAAGACCACTTACATTGTTATCAATGTCTTTATTTAAATAGAGGTAAGCAAAACTTGAGTTCTAGGCGGCTGTGAGCCTTTGACCCAAGTTCTCCGATTTTCTGTCCAGTGTTTCATGTAAAATGATAAACAGAAGGATACCTATTTGGTTTTGAACTCCATTATAAAATTCTGAAAGTGGACTTCACTTGTATACCTGTGGCTCACAGTAGCAGGTTAAGGTGACTTTCATTAATGACAATTATTACCATCTGGGTTCAGCAATAAAAATATAGAAATAATAAAAATCAGTAAGTAGTAACAATCCCAAGTAGTCCCTATTTTAAATTATGTGCTTATTACCGGAAATTATGGAAAAATTAATTGAAGATACGACCTATGTGCTCATATTCAATTTACCTGAACGTTTAAAGATTGAGCAGCAGCCTGTAGACTTGTCCCAGCGAGCTGAACCTAGGAGAAAAGTAATCAATGGACATAATCCAAAATACTGTCATTCATCACTAGACGGTGTCATCAAGAAATATTTCAAATACTAAGTGTATATCATGGAGTTAGAGTTAAACATACAAATATATATTTTTATTTTATGGAGTTAAAACTTTACATACTGCAGAAATGTCTTCTAAATTAGCATCATCACTAAATGAGCACTATTAAGCTCTGGGTGGGTGCTTCTTATTTAATACTCTGTTTGTACTCATAGTGTGTGCTTAGGTTCTTGAAATGAAACAATCTTCCACATTGTTTTAAAGAACACATAAAAACAGACTATCAACATGCACTGTTTTATCATTATAAACAAATGATGATAAAATAGATGACAATCTATCCTATAAGCCATACATGAAAAAGTGTTAATATTTAATATTTCATTTCAAAAGTTCAAATCATAGTCATATTGAAGTGAGGGCACACATGAAATTAGAAAACCAACATTTGGCAACTGTGATAGAAACTTGACTTAGAAAAGGGTCACCAACAGATCATCTAACTAACAGGCAAAACAAGAATAAGGTATTTCTCCACAGATGCTGAGAATTACAAAGGGTACAACAGTAACTGCACAGGGAAGGCTACCTGGCAAGCAGATTGCATAATCAGTGCTACCAATATGAGATTCGCCTTCTGCTGCAAGCACTGTGAAGACTGTATTTCTTATGTTGTAACCCTACCAAAGATGAATAACCTGAATCAAAAATAAATGAAAAATCTAATCATAACAAGAAAGACAAGTTCAAATAGAGGAATCTTCCTGATTTGTATTCTTTAAAAAAACGTTTTCTTAATTAAATATTTATAGCTGGGCAGTGGTGGCACATGCCCTTAATCCCAGCACTTGGGAGGCAGAGACAGGTGGACCTCTGTGAGTTCGAGGCCAGTCTGGTCTACAGAGTGAGGGAGTGCCAGGAGAGACTCCAAGGCTACAGAGAAAACCTGTCTCAAAAATTGAAAACAAACAAACAAATGAAAAAACACAACAAACAAAATTTTTTAAAAATTAAACAATATACATTTATTTATTTATTGAAGGATTTGGTTGTCTCCTAATATCTTGCACCCCTCAAAGGTTAATAATGTCTTGAAAGTAAAGAAAGACTAAGAAGGGAGAAGAAAGATTATAAACTAGACTAGAAAATTAAAATGGAATGGTGGTAGTGAAAATAAACAGTAGAGATTATGAAAGCTATTGTATAAGAATCCAGGCAACCAGCTGAACAGAGATGTAGAAAATTATGACTCATTGCTTCATTCAAAAACAAACTTGAGGATAGTTGATGTGGGATATCCTTCTGTATGCTGCAAATATGTGTTGCTCTCATTGGTTGATGAATAAAGCTGTTTCTGCCAATGGACAGACAGAATTTAGCCAGGCAGGTAATCCAAACATAAGGATAGAGAGGAGATCCGCAGAGTCAGGGAACGGCCATCTAGCTATCAGGAAGATAGGACACCCAGGCATTCTCCAGTAAGTTAAGACCATATGGAGATACACAGATTAATAGTTATGGGTCAATAATTAAGAGAGAGCTAGCCAGTAAGATGCCTAAGCCATTGGCTAAACAATTATATATTAAGTCTTGGAATGGTTGAGCAGCTGTGGCACCTGGTAGGTGGAGAGAAAACAGGTCCAGTGGGTCCCAGACTAGATGAGAAAAAAATCTCCATTTACAGACAGTTTCCTAGAATTTCATTCACCTATTTTCAAGTAGAAAAGCCTTTTTATTTTGATAGTTTTGTAGTATAATGACATTTTAATTTTGGTAATATAAATTAAATAAACAGAATTCGTATTCTGTTTTAGACTGGGGGAATCACATGATATCAGGGTAGTAAACTAAAACTTGTTTGTTTGGTTGGTTGGTTTTAATGGCTTTAGGGTAGTATTTGGAATTGACTCTGATTATCTATAGCATCACTTAGCCATCACAGATTTAAGTTCATGTTCACTCAGAACAATGACCTAGTTGTTTTATTAGGTCCCAACAAAAATTATTTTGTTCACACAGTTGTAGAGTCAATAGCTTTGCAAAAACTATTAACTCTACATGAATCATGCAGCAGGATAGTTACACATGGTTTGAAACAACTTCCCTAGCATTTTATGCCTCCTTTAGAAAGCACTCTCAGATATGGCTGGGTGAAACAGTAGTCTACCTGGTGAAGATGTCCAAGGAAAGCCTGGGCCTGGGCTGTTGAGATTGCTCCTCCAACAGGTACAGGCTGCTTCTGAAAGTCCAGACCATTAGTTTGTGTGCCTGGAAAACAAGCAAAATAACTGCTAAGTGAAATAAGTTCAAATGGAGCAAAGAACTCAACCTCTAGTTACCAACATCCACTAGGAACTTGTTTTTAATTATCACTTTTCTAAATATCTTCAAAGATGATAAGAGATTTGGAAAAATGGAAATAGATTATGGAAGAAGAGTCAGAAAAGGACTTAGGAAAGGAGACAGAAAAGAATCAGAAGACAGAGAAGAATGCTATGGAAAGCTGTTTTCTGGAATGAAATGTGTATGGCACTCATGAACTCATAGCATCTGTAGTTACCTACTTAAGACCTCCACAAAATCAAAGCATACAAAATTCTAGCACAACAGAGAAGTACCATCCAGGCTCCAACCCTTAATAGGAATCACTGGCAGTTGGTAGTTGCTGTAGGAGGGAGAACCAATCTATCTTGAGGGTGTTCTCAATAGGTTTCCTGTGCTACGGTGGGTGGCCCCAAACCCACATACATACATGGAACACTAATTGGACTTAGTGGTTATCAAAACACACCCCCTCCCCAGCAAGAGTCATGAAGTTAGGATGGGGACATGTCAGGGAATATGAAGGGAGTTAAAGGAAGGGAAAAGGGAAATATTGTACTATATACATGTATGAAATTCCCTAGAATAAAGAATTGTAAAAGTTGATGTTAGAAAGAGAATGGCCCCCATGGACTCATGTTTGAAAACTTGGTGCAGAGGTGTTTCCTTGTTGGAGGAGATTTATGTCAAGAGGGGTGGGCTCTGAGATTTCAAAATCCCATGCCATCCTGTTACCCTTTCTGTCTCATAGTTGCGGCTGCTGTCTTAGGATGTGAGCTCTCAGCTATGCTCCAGCCTGCCTGCCAGCCTGCTACCACACTCCCCATCATGATGGCCACAACCCACCCTCATTAAAATATAAGAACGCAATAAACCTTCTCCATTAAGCTGCTTTGGTTATGGTGTTTTAGCACAGCAATAGAGAAGTAACTAAGACATTTGACTTCTCTTCAAAATGTAGGATAAGTATGCAATACCAACAATGCTTAAGAAAAGCCACAAAAATAAAAAGAACTGACAATTGTAAGAGTTACTGAACAATAGAGACTGCAGTAACCAGGGTTGAAACTGGCATGGCATTTATGATGGCTTTAAGGAAGAGATCATTTTCACTGTTTAAAAGGATGGTAGAGATTGTCCCAAGAGAGGGTCTCTGTCATCCTACTTAGCATTTCACTTGCACAGAAGACATTCCCTGGTTACTTTGTGAGGAGCAAGGGACTTACTACTGATGCAAACACTTTAATGAGCAGCAGTGTAGTTAAGTGATCCTTTATATAATTGAAACAAAATAGTTTTAATGATTTCTTCAATATCGAAGTGCAGATTCACACACACACACACACACACACACACACACACACACACACGCACACATCCTCTCTTTGGTTTTGAAACAGGGTCTTATGACTTTCCTACTTTAGTTTCCCAAATGCTGGGATTAAAATGTGTACCACCAGCCGGGCGTTGGTGGCACATGCCTTTAATCCCAGCACTTGGGAGGCAGAGGCAGGTGGATCTCTGTGAGTTCGAGGCCAGCCTGGTCTACAAAGCGAGTTCCAGGACAGCCTCCAAAACAATACAGAGAAACCCTGTCTCGAAAAACAAAACAAAACAAACAAACAAACAAAAAAATGTGTAAACCAAAACCAGCTCCACTAGTTCTAAAACAGTGCCAATGTTCACCATTACACATTACATATCCTATTTTCATAGAGTCCACCCAAATCCTATACACTAATTCTACATTCAGCTTTTATGATAGCAAGTTCTAAGACTGATTTCCAGCAACCTGGGTACAAAACACTAATGCTAATAGTATCAGCATTTAGTACTGTTTAATTGCTATGCCTTTGCCTCTAGAAGGAATGAGATAAAGATGTGGTAGTTGTACTGTAAATATTTTAGTCCAAAACCTTTCTGATTGAGGAGAGACTACCTCTCCCAGGCTTAGTGAATACTTAGCATTAAAATGATTCAAACTAATCAACTCCTAGAGTGTTCATCCTGCCCTGCCTTGCATTTCCTATGGAAAAATACAACAAAGGTGAGGTCTAAACCTTCCATCTTGTTTGTTTTGTTTTTTATTTTTTGTTGCTGTTCTCGGTTTTTTTTTTTCCCTAACTGAAGGCTTTTGTCCAGGAGTGTTATATATGTCTCCTGTCTCCAGGATCTGTGAGTATAGCAAACTTTGCTTTTCTGAGCCTTCACTTATTCTTTTTTGTACCTATAACTGACTGACCATCGATACAAGAATAGAAGACACTTATACAACCACTTAAATACATAAATACAAATATAAGATACAAAGGTAGATGTCTTTAATAAGGTATTTGTGATATTGTGAAAGATATTATAGAGAAATCATTCTTGTTGAACTAGGCCAAAAAGAAAGGTGATCAGATATACACATACAGTCTCCAAGTGAATTTTAGTATGAGATGTTCAGAGGCAAAACCAAGTAATGCTTAGATTTGCATTCTTGGAGGAACTGGAACACTGAAAAAAAGAACTAAAAATTTATTCATTGGGTTCTTGGCCAATGAATAATGTAAGATGATTATTATTAAACATATGAAGGTCTAGAGCACCTGGAAAAACACCGAAGTAGTCTAGAGTGCATCAGGAAATGACAGGCCAGAGCCAAAGATTTTGTAGAAGAGAACAAGCTGAATCTTTGTAATCTTGTACCCAAAGCTATTTAATAATGCATACAGAGAAAAACATGTTAAAGACAAACAGGCAACTAAAATGCAAGGCAGCGGGGAATCCTTGATCCTAGTGTCTCTTAAGAGCTAAGGGAAGGAAGGATAGGGTAGTTAAAACTGTCAAAAGCTACAAATAACAAAGCACTGAAAATCAAATTAATCTGAAGGAAATGGAAGACAATAATAAAAGTAGGACCAATACTTATGAAACTGGATGAAAAACAACACATAACAGAAAACTATCAGCTTGATTCTTTCAAAAGAATTGTATAATTTATAGTTTCTGGTGAGGTGGAGCAAGAGAATAGGAGGAATCAAGTAACCCATTCAAGGACAGCAGAAAAGACACATCACAACTGTTGCAGACAGGGGGACCAAGTGGGTGAAGCATGTGCCCTAATATGTAGATGTCGCATCTGCCGCGCAGCCTGTGTCCGAGAACGTGCGGAGGGTGTCGGGGATTGACAACACAGAGACTCGTTCAACGATGTAAAGAAAACTTTAAGCAGGCCCCAAAAAGGTTCAAGAAAACTTCCTAAGAAAGGCTCCCTCCAGAAAAGCTTCTGTTCTCTCCTCTCCCCTGGCTGGTTCTGCTCTGACACCTAAAACTGATCTGGGCGGGTCAGAAGAGGCGGCTAGTCTTTGGACAAGGTCGAGGTCAGGGTGGTTTCTGTGGGCAGGCCTTTTCCAGGAACTTATTGCCCCGGGCATTGTATTGTTTTTAGTAAACATGTTTTTAGTAAACATTGTCTTACAGCTGCCTACTCCCAGGCAGAAGGGGAAGTGGGTCTCTGCTCAAGGTCTGGTGTTCCCACATGTAGACATTAGTTTGGCTCCCCCAAAAGCTACCGAAACACTAGACACAGTTGTACATGTTTGTAATCCTGGTAGGAGGGGGAGGCAGCAGAATCCTCCAAAGCTTGTAGTCTAGTTATCCTCAAATGACCAGGGTTAAACAAGAGACCCTGTCTCAAACATGGTTGAAGATAAGGATTGTCACCTGAGAAGGTCCTCTGACCTCCACAGGTTGTATACACAGATAGTAGCAGGACTTCATAAACTTATTTCACGTTAATAAAACTGAAACTTAGAAATGGACAACTCTCCAGAAAACAAAATTTAACAAGACCAACTCAAGAAGAAATAGAAAATACAAGAGTCCCCCAACACTTAAAGAAACTGAATTAGGTTTAAAAAAAAAACTCCCCCAAAGAGAACACAATGCCTGATAACCTTACCAACGAATGGTTCCAAACATTCAGTGAATAATTAAGTTTACACATTTTCCCCAGAAAAGAGTAACAAAACAAAACATGAAAACACATCCTATCTCATTTACTGAAGTCAGTATAACCTAGATATCATAATCTAGGAAAGAAAGTATAAAAGAAAAAAAATACATGCCAGTTTCCTTCATAAACACAGTCAGCTTCAGAAAAGACAGGAAAAGAAAAAAATATTTGAGAATATTGAATGAAGACTGTGACAAAGATGAGTCAAAGTCCAGCTAAGAGACACTTGGATTTTATGAAATTAAGATTCCCTTTCTTCCTTCGGAGCAAGCAAGGAGGGACCAACATGCCAAGGTTCCCACCCATGTCAGCAGCTCACAGCACTAAGCTCTGACTGTAGTTACACAGCTTTGTTCTCAGTGGCTCAGTTTGCCTCTTGTTCCCCATCCCTGGAATACAGAAGCAATAAATCTATACCTCTCGTTACTACACAACTACATTTTGTACTTCTCTAACATTTGGTGGGCAGCAGGGAAAATAAAACTGAACCAACAAAACACAATGCAGATTTGTCTTAAGTCTGCATGCTTGATCAAAGAGGAGAAACTCCAAGGCTATATTTGGGATTTTATTTATATGACATTTAGAAAAAGGTAAAACTGGCCGGGCGGTGGTGGCGCACGCCTGTAATCCCAGTACTTGGGAGGCAGAGACAGGCGGATCTCTGTGAGTTCGAGGCCGGGCTGGACTGACAGCCTCCAAAACAATACAGAGAAACCCTGTCTCGTAAAAAAAAAAAAAAAATACTCCCACTATATAACTACACAGTAACTAAACTCAGACTGTGATTGAGTCATTCTAATCCCTGCCTCACATTCTCCCCCAATATTCTGATACCCTATTACCAAGGAATCCAAGTCAATGTTCACTTGCAAAAATGCTACCTAAGAGACTGATTCATCAATAACTGAAGCAAACTAGGAACATAAGAGGACATAAAGTGTCA